TTCAGGTTGGGCCATTTCAACTGCCAGACACTTTTTCTCATTGGGGAGAATTCAGGGCAGGCTAAGGGCTCAGGAATAGGACATTCCTAATGGGGGGTTAAATTGGGTGGAAAACAAAAGTGATGGATGTCTGGGAGGCAGCTTGCTTGCTTGCTTCTGTGTTCACTGTCCCACCGGTAAATGGGATAATAATAATTACATGCATAGAACAGTGCATGGTTATTAAAACAAGTAGCCTTTGATTGTCTTATCCTGCATCAATGTGTAAACCTTTTGAAGCTCAAATTGGTGGCCATCATTACTACATGAATTCCATAGCTTAAGTATATAAAGCATATAGGAGCATTTTCTTCTATCCTGAATTACTCACCATTTAGCTCAGGTTCTAATATGTGCACACAGCCAAAGCTCGGCTGCTGAAGATAAGGCCTGGCTGCATGATCCTAATTCATCCTCCATGTCCTGATTGTACCCGTGGTACTAATGTCTGCACCATGCTAGTCTTATGCTTTCCTAGTTCTCAAAAGTCTCTCTCTCGTTCATTTGTGGAACATGTTGTCCTTTCATCTTAAGTTTCTATTTTAAGAGAGACTGCACTCTGAACTTCTTCCATAAGCGGCTTAATTTTATAGAAGTATTTTCATTCTTCAACTGGTGTTAGCCTTAGCAATAAATATTCTGCATCCTACACCAACACATTCTAGAGGTTTTGCAGATTATTTTTAAAAGGTCTTTATTAACAAAGAATGCTCTTAAACATCAACAGATTCTTGGGGAAATGTTGTAATTTCTCACTATGGCAGCCACTATGCATCACCAAAAAGAGAATGAAAGAGCCTAGATTAACATATGTAATTTTTGTTAATGTATGTGTATGGGTGCATATTTATATATCATTATTATAATTTAAATAATTAAGAACTTAGTGGGGAAATTGTGATGAGATGACTTGTGTACTAGCCAGTCTGTTGTCCATTTGCTAATTGTTGCTGAGTAATTTCAAGGCTTTTGCTGGCTATCTCTTGGTAGGGTTTTTATCTTTTAAAAATAAATCTATTATTTTTTAAAGTTATCTTTTAATTTAGTAACCCTTCAAAAAGAGGGCTATTCTCCCTAAAGAGAATGCATTCTCAGACTATTTCTTATCCTTTAACATACTAGCTGCTAGTTCATTAACAAGGGATATGCAGAGGGAGCAAATTTAGCCTCTGTGCAGAATTTCCCTTTTTATGTGTTATAGGAAGTGCACCCATATTTTTTCCATTGTCTGACCCTCAAAAAGAGGAACAAGGACAGAATGCAGTTTCTTTCATGTAGATGCTGAACTGCATGGTTTCTGAGGGACATTTTAAAGAGTCTGTAGATATTTACACAATTTATTTTATAATAGGGAGCTCTATAATTTTCTGAATAGCTAAAACCCAATTTTCGGCCAGTCTTTCCACCCACATGCATGCGTGTGCTTACAACAATGAAATTGGTTTGTGAGCAGGTACTTAAGTTTAATGTAAGGTGCAATCATATGCATACTTAGAAAAATGTGTGCCTTTGGTTGCTAACCATGTTTGTAGTTCTGCAAACTGACTAACCTAAAGCAAAACTGAACCTTGTTTTTTCCATCCATGCTTCCCTGGCAAAGAATACCAATTGTGCTGATGCTATTTCTTCCTCACAATTCCATTTTCCCCAAACTACTATGTGCTATTGATTCTAAACTAGTAACATTATAGCTTTTTGCATTGAAGCAGTTGAACCTGTTTTGAAACATTCCCTTCCCAGCCTTATCCCTCCAAGTCCTTCTCTTCTAGTTTTCTGCACAGGTTTTGATTCTGAGGCTCTCGGGTGGCTTGGGAAGATGGACATGAGGCTGACACATCTTCTTTGATTGATGCAGAGGAGCACAATGAAAAGCACAAAAAAGCACAGTCCTTTTGAGCAGGGAGTTCTGTACCTGCAAAGGGTCAATTTCTAAAAGAAGTTTCCAAGGTTCAGAGTTGCTAGGAGGAAAACTCCTTTAGCCTGAACTGACCTCAGGTGGGAAGGTTGTGAACAGGAAGACCATGATTGTAAAATTCATTTTAAAACTTGTGTTCATGTGAAACTGTTCAAGTGTGCATGCAATGAGCAGAAATTTGTTTGGAAAGTAACTTGCACCAGCACTCTCATGTCCTCCCATGTCTCCTGCTATTGCAACATTATATCAGAGGCTGTGGCAAATGTTAATGCTACAGATAGATCCAACGCATGCACCCTTTGAAACATCTTTTACTTTTACAGTTCCCACACTATGCATTGATGCATGGCACCTGATTGCATTAAAAACACAGTGGATAAGGCACAGAGCACCTTGGAGGAAAAATGTCAGCACAGAGTAGGCCACATACCAAGGAGCTTCACTGAAGATCCTCTCTGGGTTTGTTTGTAAAGCAGTTACAGCCTGTAGCATCTGTCGTCTCTTATGGTTTAGTGACAGAAGTTGATGTCTCCTGACAGATGATGTGGAGGCCAGGGGGCTGAGGGAGGCAAATGCTGAATGAAGCCACACTGAGTAGCTTCCGCTATTGCCATGTAACCGTTTCATACTGCACAGCCCTCCCACAGTCCCTGATTGTCTGTGGCACAGATGTGTTAATAGCAATATGGGTAGAGCTAAAGATGCTACCATATCATGAACTTTGTGGAGGCATCCGTTTGGGAGGAAGCTGGAGGAAGGGAGGGGAGAAGAGGAGATCTTCTTGTCTAGAGCCTCTCTGTCCCTGCCCTGTCTTTCAGAAACCATTTCAAAACTTGTTTATCTGAAGGAATTAATAGTATTAAAAGATGTACTGCATGAACCAAAGGGGAATAGCTCTGCATATAGCTTCATCACCAAACTCTATCCACAATAGACACAGTCCTCCCTGGAGAATGTCTAAGTGGGAGGAGGGTGCAGATACAGAATGTCATTGGGCCAGTTTGTGCCACAGAACAGTGGTTGTGTTGGGCAAGCCAGCCCAATGGGGTGTTTAACCCACAGTGAGAATGATGGTGGGGCTACAGCATTTGTGGAACATGTGTGGCCATCATTTTCCATATCTAACCCATGTTTGGAGAGTAGGATATGCAAAGTGGTGCCTGTGGGTGTTGTGGCTCATCCTAGTTTAAATAATTCACAAGTCATACCTTGTCATGTGAGCCATGTGTGTAGGGGGGATGGAAAATACATGGAATTTTCTTAAGCTTCTGTCAAGATTGTATGTACTCTGTATGTACAGACTAAACTCTGTCATAGCTATTCTCTGTTTAAACAACTGTAACTGGGCATAGATTTGAATGCCACGATATAACTTTTATTGCATATAAACCTGAGAAGATATTAATACCAACATTCAACTGAGGGAAGGTTTAAATGAAAAGAAACCATCCTTCTGGGAATTCAGTCCTCCATCTGTTCCTAACACTTGAATATCCTAAGTGCATTCTTATTTTTGAGAGAGAAAAGTGGATTCAAATCTGTGCTTATTATGAAAGAAAGCAGTTGCTATGGCTGTATCTAATCTTCAAAAATATTCTGAGGATATTTAGAAAAGTTTTAAATAAAGAATAAAGAATAATAAATAAAGAATAATCAATAAAGAATAAATAAAGATATTCTGATGAGCATTGCTCTAGGTTTTTGAAGAGAGGACAGAATATCAGTCTGATATGACTAATTTCCCTTCATTGACTTTTAATCTTAAATGAATATTGGTCCTTCAGAAAAGTTTCTGTATTGCTGCTTATGTCCATCCCTTCATTTCACCCACCTTGTCCTGTCAGTTTCTTCCCTGTAATTTGCTTCTGTTCCTTTCATTTATTTTCTTCTTGATCCACATTTTCTTATACAGCTTATACATTTTGTCTTGGATATCATGTTTTCTCTGACTGTCCTGATTTCCTTGAACCCAGGGTCCAGTAAAGCCACTGGGTTGGATGTGACCTGTTAATTGCCCTTAGGGCCTATTGATATCAATGTTTAACATTCCTCATTCCTAGGTTAGGTTATATTGAAACCTACAGGACTTAGGTCCAACTATCCTAGACATGTTCCAACTCAGTGGTCCCTCTTGTCCCTGTTTTTTCCTTTTGGGAAAAATAGGAGTGATTCATAACAGAGTCGCCATTTTTTTATGCCCCAGTTACCTCTCAGGTTAAACTTCTGAGCAGGAAATGGATTTATGTTCAGTGTGAACACTAAGGCACAGCATACTGCAGGGGTACAGAACCTTTTCAGTCCAAGGGCCAAATTCCAATCTGGTGAAGGCTTCAAAGACATATTATGAATAAGAGTGGGGCCAAAGATAATGTTGGAATGCCCACAAGAAGCGTGGGTGGTACCAAAATGTGCTACTTACTGATTTAATGCCTACACAGAAGGAAGCTGAACAAAACTGTTCCGTCTACACAGAAGTAAGCATGAGTAGCATGATAATTCACAAGTAAATATGGCAAGTCTCAACATTTCTGTTCAGAAGCACACATGAGAAGCACTAGGGGCAATAACTCACCCACTTCCTTCAAGGTTCTGCTGCTCATCCCTGCAGAGAAAAGCTTATCTTTGTTTAGGGGTTGACAAGAGACCAAAGTTTCTCACTGCTGAGGACTGAGAAAGGGAGCCTTTTTTCAGTGCTCAGCTGGGAAAAGGCTTGTCTCTGATTGACTGTTGAACTGAGATAAGAGGTTTTCTGTGCTAAGGAAGAAGTCAGGAGGTGGAGAAAAAGTTGGTGGCATGGGACATATTTGGCTGAAGATTCCCCATCCCTAATGTAGTGTAGCAACCCAATGCAGTAATGCCCAATGTAAGCAAAAGGCTGTTATGGGTACTTATGATAGTTCTTGTTTTCTTTTGTAGGAAATTGCTTAATTAAAAAAGTAGAAATGGATAAATAAAAAAGAGTTATTCCCTATTGTAAATATTGTTTGCATTATGTGAGAAGGCTGAAGAAACCCTGTACAAAAATTAAAACTCTTTGTTGTTACAGATTGCAGAAGGGATGGCATACATAGAGAGAAAAAACTACATACATCGAGATCTGAGAGCAGCTAATGTTCTTGTCTCCGAGTCTCTGATATGCAAAATTGCTGATTTTGGACTTGCTAGAGTAATTGAAGACAATGAATATACAGCCAGGGAAGGTTTGTTTTCTTTGATTGTTTTAACCAGTATATAATAAGAATAATTCTGTTCATGGTCATTTATTTATATGCTTCTGACAAAATATCCACACGTACAGCCCAATCCCCACTATTAATCCAGGTGTGTATATGGGAGTAAAGGGGATGCTTCTGGCTGCCAAGAAACAGCACCTACTTGATACAGGTGGAATGTGAGAGCAGGGCTGGCCTGAAACATTTTGCTACCTGAGAAAAATGGAAGGACAGTCTCTCTCAGGTTTCACATGTAGAAGCTGACCAGTTCAACACTGGAAAGAGGACAGCATCTGAGGGCAGCAGGCTAACTTAGAGGTACAAGGCAGAGGCAGCATGCCCAGCTCTGTTCTTTGGTATGTCCCTTCAACATCTGCTGCCTTAAATGGCCATGTCTCTCTGACTAAGGAAAGTGACTGGGCTGTGAGAGGGGAGAGATGCATCAGGCCAACAGCTGTTTTGTACAGGCTAACGTTACCACTCTCCGGTTAATCCTTTCTGATTTCTCAACCAACTTCTACTTTAAAAATAGCTTTAAATGGCTGTACAAATTAATTCTTGATTTAAGATGAAAGTGTGGATTATTTCCCTCAGGTGCAAAGTTCCCCATCAAATGGACAGCACCAGAAGCAATTAACTATGGCTCCTTTACTATTAAGTCTGATGTGTGGTCCTTTGGAATTCTTCTGTATGAAATAATTACTTATGGGAAAAACCCATATCCAGGTATGTACACTGTATTAGATACTGCTCTGGTTTTTTAATTTCTCTATTTAGAGGAGAATGGGGGAAGGTGAAAAAGTTAGCTGTGCTCTCCATTTTGAGATTGGATTTCTTTAAACTGCAGACTTCACATCTGGCCAAATTTGGGACTCACCTGTTTCTTCCCCCACCTCCTGCTTTTTCTACCATTTATGATTGCAATCAGGTTGCCAGTTTTGAAATATTTAAAGTAGGGGTCCTCAAACTTTTTTACCAGGGGGCCAGTTGAAAGCTGCCAGTGCTGGGTGTGGGCTGGAAAGGTGGTGCCTGGTCATGCACACAGGCCGGTGAGGGAGCGGACACATGTGCTGAGGCGGGGCGCACGGCGAGGCGAGGCGGGGCACGTGCGGGCATGTGCTGCGAGGAGAGCTTTTTCCCCGAGCGAACAAGCCACTGCCTTCCACATGTGGGGCGAGGTGGCAGCAGCATGCGCAGCGGGTCCAAATGTGCGTGGCAGGCTGGATAAATGGACATGGCGGGCCGGATCCGGCCCCCGGGCTGTAGTTTGAGGAATTATGATTTAAAGGCAGCTGCTCCAGAGACTGTAGCAGAACCTTCTGGATCATAAGCTGGATACCACAGTAAATCTAGGGGAAGACTTCAGTGACTTTGATGGGTCAGGAGGAGAACTCAATGGCTTTTGCTGGTCCTGGCTTTGAGTAGAATACCAAAAGGTGCCCTATCCACTTATGACCACTTAAGGGGGAATTTGGCCTTGCCACTTGGTTTTCTAGAGCCTAGCCTCAAAGCACGCACACCTGTCTCTATGCAAATATTGTATTCCCTTCAGTACTTTTCTTTAAACAAATCAGTCTTATTTATGTAACATAAGAGCCCTACACCAGTGTGTCTAGCCTGTCTTATCCTGAGATCTGAATTCAATTTCAGAGAAGCTCACCAGCATTGAAATCCAGAGTAGGTGGAGCCAAAATCACAATGGGAAAGTGCTGAAATACCAACCTATTCTAGCTTAAAGCAGCTATTACCCATAACTAAATCTTTAAAAAGACAGTTAAACTGTCTAGAATGGGGAAAATGGAAATGACTGAAAATGACCAAATGATATGGGGAAAGGTGGTGGGATTCTCTGGGGAAACAGAATTGAAACCCTAGGTGGGCCAGATTTGGCCCAGTGGCATAAGGATCAGTGCTCCCATTCTATAAGACCAAGGGTTTTCCACTGACAAACTGATTCTAAAAAAGATCCTGAACTGTGCGGAAATGGATAGATTGACCTTATCATTGAAGGAGAAGGAAGATCCTGACTTCTATCAAACTTGGGACTCTTTTTATTATCGGCTAGAGAAACGGGACTTTGCATAGATTTGAATATGTTTTTAAGTTATCATAATGGAAAAAGAAGGGTGTGGGGGCTGACCCAGCAGGCCTGACGTTTTTGATAATTGATGTTTTTAGTTTTTCTTTGTTTTTTAGGATTATAATTTCAAATAAAACTTATTTTAAAAAAACACACATTTAAAGAGGGAAGGGACGCTAATGTGCATAGTTGAATACTGAGAGTAAAGGTTAAACAGCTAGATCACTTTGACATTCATTTGCCACAGCAGATTCCTGCAGGTGATTAGAAACAAAAAGTGGGGGAGCAGGCCTGGCTGGAGTTGTGGAGCTTCTTTCTGTCTAAACATGCACAGGATTGTGTCCTTAATTTTTTGCTAGGTGACCACCTCATAAAATAATACCCACCCTTACTTTTTCCTGATATAACCTTGCATAGGGAAACTAGTAACAATACCAATGCATACTAATAATATATAATATTTGGTGTTCTTATACATCCCTGCTGTGTGACCTGGAGTTTGAGAATTCCATGGATATTTCTTAATCTCTGGCTGAAATGTATGAAATCTTAATGGGGAAATAAGGACAAGAGATGCTGGGGAGCAATTTATTTTCTTGCCTATCCTTTATTTGATTTAAATAAACCAATAGCTCTTTGGCTAAAAAAAGAAAAGAGAACAAGGGCTTTCTGCTACATCCAAACTGGCTTGGAACCAAGAAACAAGTGTTCTGCAGCTAAGGAAGCTCAGAGGATGGAGTAGTGATCTTTGGTTCTGCCCTCTAGTGAAAAATGAAATTGGCCACAGATAAGATTGCTGACCAAATAGGTCCTTCTTTGGAAACTGCAATCTCTTTAGGAAAGTGGGTTGCCTTTCACGAGAATATAGACGAATGCTTTAGTTTTCTGCTAGGGATGTTTGAAGGAATTGGTATAAAAGGATTTCTGTTTGTATTCTTTAAACTAATGTGCAGGTATGTTTATAACTGATTATTTGCTAAAAAATGTTGTAAAACAAAACATTGCCATTGTTTCCTTTGGATTTGTTTCATTACCCGGGCTTTTGAGCAGCCTCTGCAAGCTGTGTGCTGCTGCAGAATCCTTAAAGGCATCTGGAGCTGTCCTTGCTGTGCACAGACTGGTAAAACAGATTGTGAGGGCAGAGTTGCTGTCAGAACAGAATGACGAACTGAATGGTTGCAAATCTGATTGCGGTGCTGGATTCTGGTTTACCCTGATTCCTGTGTTACATTAATTAGGGCTTTTTTATAGAAGTCACCTTGAGGCAGCTTTTAGTGGTGGGAAACAACACTACAGTTAATAATAAATTCAGGGCTTTACAAAGCATAATTCTCCCTTCACCCTGCTCCCAAATTATAAGTGAGTTGTAGGAAAATACAGAGCAGATTTTTACCAAGGCAGATCATGGGTCCATGTAGCTCAGATCATTTATACCAGAGGTGAGGAACTAGTGACCTTCCAGAAGGTGCTGAACTACCTCGTATTATGTTTGACCATTAGCTATGCTGGCTGGGAAGAACTGGAGTCCAAAAAAATCTGGAGGGCCACTGGTTCCCTTCCATTGACCTGTATTGGGAGGCAGCTCCTGTCAGTGCTAGTACAAATGACATCATAAACGAACATTGCTGCAAAGCCATTTGTACTTTCTAGGCAAAGGACACAAGTAACAAGCTGCTACCCAAATTTTGCCAAAACATGCTGTCAACATCAAAAATTGAAACCTCTTTGTCTTTCCCTCACTAGTATGAAATTACACTTTTAGCTATCCTAATGTACACATGTTCAGGTAAAGAAATAGGCTTGGTTGGAGTATTTACCTAAAGAGGATGAAGGGTTTACTTGTTTGTTTCCCCAGTACAGTACAGATATCAAAAGCAGTTACTAACACAAGCACTTCAGCTTAATGACTCTTGTACCTCCACCAGGTCTCTAGAGAAAGCTGCATACATAATACAGCATTCACCAATATGGCTGGAAAAAAAATCATGTTGGGGCAGTTTTGATTTTTCCATAAACTAGGGCTTGGGTGAGCATGGAGGATAAATTAAGTTGTAGCTGAAACAGCAAATTCTCTTTGGAAAAAATTGAGCTAGAACTAGAAAGAAGCTTTTGCACATTTCCTCATGTTTCTCTCTCCCTCTCCCTCCCTCCCTCCCTCCCTCCCTCCCTCTCTCTCTCTCTCTCTCTCTCTCTCTCTCTCTCTCTCTCTCTTTTGGGAACAAGGATTTAGAAATCAATTCAACAGTGCTGGCTCTATTGATCTTTTGGGAGAAGGCAGGCTGTACATTCAAATAAGTACAAGTAGGAAAAGTCTTGCTAATTGGCTAAAATTTAGGAAATTTTATGTCAGTCTGCTGAAAGCTTCTCATGGTATCTGGAACTATTTCAGCCAAGAAGATCGGCTATTTTGCTTGGAAATGTAGTAGTATGTTATATGGAACTAGCTCTTAGATGATTGATTCAAAACTAAATGAGATTATTCATTCTGTGAGCTCTCCTTACTTAGTCTGCATCTTTCATTCTCTTTGTATAAATAGAATAAAGGATCTTAATAACATTTCCTAGTAATAAAAACCTTATTGTTCAAAGAATGAATTTGATATAATGCAGGATATATGAAGCATTAATTTATGGGGGGACATCCTCCCAAATTCAATTCATTTTGCCCTGACATAGCCAAATGAACCAGATTATACAAGTCTTTGCTTGTATTGTTTCAGGTATGAGTAATTCTGAAGTAATGATGGCTCTTCAACGAGGATACCGCATGCCACGTATGGAAAACTGCCCAGTGGAGCTCTATGATATCATGAAAACATGCTGGAAAGATAGTGCAGAAGAGAGACCAACATTTGAATATTTACAGAGTGTTCTTGATGACTTCTACACAGCTACAGAAGGACAATACCAGCAACAGCCATAGTAGGGAAAAGGCAGATTGGCATATATTTCTCAAAAGGACAACATGGTTGAGCGAGTTATTTTAGAGATTAGGATATCTTCATTGCCTGTGATTCCTGATATCAAAGACTGCAACTCAAATGGACAAATGCTCAACATCCTGCTTAAGGATTTAAATTCTTTCAATGATTTCTTGTATTTTGCTTAAACATGTAGATAAGATGAACATGTATAAAGTAAGATACAGCTGCAAATGCAATGAACAGAAACAAAACCTCATGAAGACAATCAGAAGATACAATAAGTGGCCAAGGACAGGATCCCTCACATGATCTGGTTTAGGGCCAGACTAGATGTTACACAGGAGATGCATGAGTGACCTCTGCCCGCTTTGTTTTTACTGAAAAGCTGCTGACAGAAGGGTAGGGAAAATGGAAGCCTGCATCATTTGTTTATCCTTTTACCAGCCTTTTCCTGCCTAACTGCAGGATAAAAGACACAAAAGCCTAGCCATATCTGCTTTCACTGATGGGAAGGAGACCAGCTTGGAGGATCAACAATGCAGTGGTGGAAAGTTTAATCATCCCTTGCCTCCGGCCATCTGCTCACACTGGCAGCCTGGTGCAGCTGCTTTTCATGTAGATGCAGTGTGTGCACACATCTCTTTCACAACATCTAGCTTGGCCTTCAAGCAGTACTTTTCTGTTGCCACTTTGCGAACTGGATTGTATGATGGAGGCTTAAATTTTGAAGGCTGCTGGAGCATCTGTATTAGTGAACCTTTTAGAACTTAATATGGAATTGTGCTGTGGTAACGGTGTTAAACCAGCATCAGGAAAAAAGCATATCCTGCTTTCAGTAGGTAACCATTTTTAAACATAGTGTGATGGTTGTACATCACCCTACTCTAAGCTTACATACCACAATAGGTCATTGAAAGGGCCCAGGGTAAATTCGAAATGCAGTATGTTCATAACTGATGATTTAGGATAAACTTGGTCAAGGCCAAAACCCTTTTAAAAGAAAATTGGTGGTAACAAACTGAAATGCTGAAAGTTTTGGTCAAGCTCAAACTTCACTCTTTAAGGCACGATTTTAAAAGTACTAAATGTGCTGTGGGTATCTAACAGTGCCAGTGATGAGAGTTTGACTTGAAAATAGCCTTAGGCAGCATTTCCTGAATTAACCTTAGATTGTCACAGTTCTCTTTCATGGTTACATATTGAATTACTATTTTGTAAAATGCTACATTTGTTATTACAAATGGCACAATTTACTTAGGATATATAACCAAATTTTTTGTTGTGCATATTATGTAGGAAGGGAACGTGTGATAGAATGAAAATGGATTTGCAAATCAAACTTAAAGATCAATAGGCTTCATACTAAACCAAAAGCTGGATGGGAAAACGTGAGAGCTATTTCACTGTGTGTGCCTTAGCTTTTCTCTGACTAGAGCTATATTGTTTTGCCAAGGTTACTGAGAGCTTTTCTCAGGAAGGTGACTTGAAAAATGCTTATTCAGGATGTGATTACTATAGAAGTATCATGATTTGAACTATGTACAGCCCCACAAACTAATAGCTGTACACACGCCATTCATTTCTGAAGAATCCAGACTGGTGACCAAACAGTCATTGTGTAAATATTTCAATTTTACTGTGATTTTAATAAATCATACTTGAAACTTTGAACCTGATGGATTGCGAGTGTGTTCTAAGTTGATAATATGAAGGTAAAGGATATGTTTCTGCTACAAGTCTAAGTTGGCTTAACCATCCAGGCTGTAGCACTCCATTATTACACAAAACCTTGTATACAGTATATCTTGAAGAATGGCAAATAGATTTTTTCAGCTTTATTCCCATATAATTAGTGGATCAGTTTTAATTGAACTGTAGTAGAACTAATCTAGTAGTAGCCTATGCACAAGCAGGTTATACTAACCATTAGGAACTGGTCTTTTTCTGTTAATACTGACTGAGTTATTACATAGTAGTTGTAGGGAGTTGGGCCAGTCTATTGCTTGATGTAGGCTCTAAAGTGCATGTCAGCAGGTTCTGAAGTGGAGGAGGAAAAGCAGGAGCAAGCAGAGGCTGAACCATTTGAAGCTCCTTCAAGGTTGCTTAGTGAAGTTTCTCACACTGAGCTTGAGAATCATTCTGTTTTGGGAGAGAAGTAAGAGTTTTTGGCACAGGGAAGCATCTGTGGAACCCTTACTGTGAACCAGTAAGGAGGTATCAGGAGAAAAGAGCTACTCAGATGCAGGGGTATTGTCACTCTTCCCATCTAGCTTTTCAACAGCAAGGGTTCCTCTGTAGATGCAGTCAAGAAATTTACTGAAAGGGAGGGATCACAGGGATGATTCCAGTTAGGATACAGTTCTTTACCTGAGGAGTCTCAGCTTTGGAAAAGGTCTACTTAGAGCTAAAATGTGCTGTCAAAAGTAGAGTTACAAAAAGACCTGCATTTCAAAGGACTGTCTTGAGTTTTGGATAAGGACTAACTCTCAACATGGGCCACATACTACTACCACACCTGGTTCTCTGAATAATAACTTTTTTCCCTTGATGTACTCAGATTCCTTCAGTGACTACCACAGAAAACCATCTGCTACACCACCATGCATAGCATTCATAATGATCACAGGCTGGATCAATAATTTTGGCCCTGCAGCTTGCCTTAAAAATGGTATCAAAACACTCTCTAGCAAATTCCTAACACTCCCATTACTCAAGGAACTAATCCTATGCATATTACATAGGATTGTAGAACTTTCTTTTCTGTCTAAACATGCATAGGATCACCCCGTAAGTCAAATTCTAGCATTAGCCTTGGCAAACATTCAGGTAATCTAAAGTATTACAGCTAGAGACAGAAATTCCTGAAATCTCATTTGTGTGCACTCTTGCATTTCTTTTAATGGTTTTAATTTATACAATGTAACTTGGAAGAATTAACAAAGCTAGGCAGCTTCAGCTATAGTTTGACTTTCAGCAAGTACTTTACATGTGATTTAATGTGTAAGAAGGCCGGAAAAGTAAAATTATCATTGCAACTGAGTATGGGCAATAAGCATAGAGTTATGTGCTAGAAATGTTTTGCCTACAAATATAGCATGAAAGTAAAATGTTACAGCTTTTTCAACATATACTTAAAGATTTGTCATGACCTTACTTAAGTCTCTCTCTTTCTCTCCCTGGGTCTTTCATTCATTTGCTGCCACTTATGCATTGGAAAAAATTTATTTGCAAACATATAAAATGGTTGTTTTGTACATTGTCATCAATTCTTTCACAGAGAAAGCAATTCAACCACAAAATTAAAACTTTCTACACATCCTAGCAAATCATGATGATCAGAGAACTTTAAAATCTGAATAGTTTACCTGCATTCACAAAATAGTGAAAAGTTTTAAAATCTTAACACTACAGAATAGAATCAGGACATCGCTGCAAACTAACTCCCCATGACCCAAAGAACCTCTGGCCATGCTACTCTGCAGGGCAGACAAGCACACAAAAATCAAATAATTGACAGTTCATTGTTTAGCCTTATAATTTGTAATAGAGATAAATCCCCATTTAATGCCTTGACCAATTCTGTCGCTGCATCCAAGTTATTCTTTCATTTTATGTAGCATTGATGTCAGTTTACAGGAAGTAATATGAGTTCCCTCAGGTTTTACTGGGGCTTTCCTACAGGGTGTTTTAGAGACATCTCCTACTGTATATTTTATATTTGCAAAAAAGCACTTCTTAGATTTCTGATGCTTAAGCTCTTCCATGCTTCGGAGCCTTTTGCTTTCATCTAGTTTTTCCTGAAGAAGAGAGACTGTGGCTTCAAGCTCATGGCCACGTTTAACACAGTTTTGAAGATTCCTAACTTCTTCTTCCTAGGAAAAGTGAGATGCATTAGAAGTAGTCATGCATTTACTGAGATTTTAAAAATAATTTTTGTTAGCCTCATTGGAATCTTAGCATCCTAATGGAATAATTAGAATTTGTCATACATGTCATAATCTCACCATTATGATAGCGCCTAATGCTGTATCTTTCTACTTTTCACACTTCAGTAATTTCCAGTATATTTGCTATATTATGAAACAAGTATAGTGAACTATTTTGAAACCTGTGTTTACCTTATATTCTAATCAAGAACATGAAATTAGACCAAGAGTGCAGAAGTGACTATTTAGACCAATTGAATAAGTTAAATATGTAATAAATTTCAGGTCACACATGAGGCTAGTATCAACAGATGCTAATACAGATTTAGTAAGCATGTCACCAACCTTAAGCATTATTTCCTGCTTCAATCTATTATTCTCTTCAACAGTTTTTTTGCAAATTTCATTGGCATTGTGCAGCATTTCATTTAATTTCTGTATTTTCAACTTCAATAATTTTAACAACTGCAAAAAAATCACTGTTACCATGTTTAGAAGCATTAAAGAATAATCTTACTGTAGCAGCTGTTAATCAAATCTGAAACCCAACACACTTTAGTTTTCTCAAAAGGATTTAAGATGATGGCTTGTGGATAAACTAGTAGACGCAATGCCTGACCTAAAAGTCAGCAGCTCTCCTTCATTCTGCTAAAATGCTCACTTCACCTCTATCCTGAATTCAGATGGAGGAGCTTTGTAAAAAGGTATCACCCCATTACCCCAGAATTGTCTCCAGGAGAATATGAGTTTCTTATCCTTTCTTCCCTTCCCAAAGTGGTCCTTTCAGGGTGGATAGGTGCAGGTTCTTGCCCTCACCAGAACATGCTCTTTCAGCATGTTCTCCACCACTCCTGGAATGGAAGGCATCTATTTTCTCATACAAGAGACAGTAAATGGGTATATTTCATATGAAGCACTTCTAGTAAACCAATTTGGTCTTCAATTTAGTTAGCATGGGTTAAATTCAGAGTTCCATGAACAGAATTCTGCTCATGCAATGGAGTATTCAACCCTCCTTTCTCCCCTCCTGAAATTTTCCCCACTGGGACACTGTGAGAAGTGGCATAGGAATCTTCAGTGGGAAGGAGGAGATGACCAAAACAAAACAATCATCTCTCCACTTTGCAGAGCTTCCACTAGAAGCTAGATCTCCCAACCCCCTTCCTAATGCAAAAAGAACTTCGTAACCCAGGCTAATCATCTGGCAATATAACATGTATCAAAAGCTTAATAGAATAGCTCAAAATAAAGGGCATTTATGCTCCATTTTTATCCCAACTAATATTTTTACAATGAACTAAAGAGATACCTCATCTTTTTCTTCACACAGTCTCTTCAATGATTCTAATGTTCTTGGCATCATCTCACAATTAATATCTGTGTGCAACAAAAAATATTTGAACAATATTTCAGAGAACATTTATATTTAGGAACAATGTATTAGTTTCTTACCTGGATTAACTTTTCCTTCTGTAGAGTCTGCCTTTGTACATTCTAAATCTGAGGCATTTTGTTCTCCAAGTTTTAGTTTCAACTGCTGTATTTTCATCTCTCTGTCCTGAATAATAAGATATGCTATAATAGGTTCTGTGTTTATAAAATGATACTTACTGTATTGAAGGGAATTTTTTAAATTATTGAAGTAGGTTTAGTTTAACTTATCTATTCTTTTCTTCTGTCCCTTTCCAACTCTGCTTAGGCATTAAGGCAATTTGATGGCTACTTATTTGCCTTTGCGTCACATGTCTGTTCGGTCTAGGAATTATTTGCATTATTTTAAAGAATGTCATATTAAATTTATTGCCAGTTTTTGTGATAGTAATAATAACTAGCAACAGTAATGATAGTAGCAGTAGTAGCTGTAAATAGTAAATAATAGTAATAGTGACAGTAATGATAGTAACTGCAATCCTCTCTGTACCTAGTGCTTTATAAGAGATAGTACCCTGTTACAAGCAAACTTACAATCTAAAAGTAGACACAGGACATGTCTAGAGAGGCAAGTCCATGGAGGAAATTGAAGTTAAAGGCAAATCACTATATTTTTCATGTATACCTGCTGAATGCAACACTTTGGTGCACTCTGAGGTGACATTTTTATTGCGCAGCCCTTTCAAAATGCATGGATGCACCCAGAGTAACTAAGATAACTATCAAAACATACCACTTTCCAGATGTTCCATTTACTAGCCTTATCAGTTAATAATATTCCTGGAGATGGCTGTAAATGAATGCCAGTAGTCATAATAGCAACTTTCTAAAAGACATACCTCAACCTTTGCTTGTTCAGCTGTGAACTCTTCTATTGGAACATAGTGCTCTTCAATTTGCTCCATTGCACACATATATGCATGCTTCTTTATGGCTTCTTTGTACATTTCAAATTTACTTTCCAGTTTTTCTTCATAATTTTCTTTCAGGTCTTCCAAGCGTTTACTGGATAGCCAAAACAGAAAACACTTCTAGATGATAATGATTGTTCTTTACCTTGCACGACTGGCTGCATCTGGATAATCAAGATCTCCATGAGCATATGTATGAGTTTCAGGCAGCCACAGGCAGGTGCTTTGTTCCTCCTTTGTGCAAGCAAGTAAACAGGCAGGAACCACAGTTACTTATTCTTTCCTCTTATTGGTTATTGCTTGCAAAGAAGCCAGGATACAGAACCAACTTTAAATTATGGCTTCATATTCTAGTTTGTTTGGAAGCCATTAACTATATTTTCATGCTTCGGATGTAAGAGTAACTGCAGTTCCTGGCTCATTTCACCAGTTTCATAAAGTTAGGATCAAAGTGGCTACACATGAGTGCCTGACATTCATGCAAGCCATGAATGCAGCCATAGGATGGGAACCATGGTTTCTAAATCTGTACATTAGGGCCAAATCATCCTTACAGAAGAGGCTGTGTACAGAAGCCTTGAAAAAGCGAAATCAGATTCCTTTTTTCCCTTTTTAAAAAAATGAGATTCCATAATAAAAGCAATCAAGAACATTTTGTACCTTAAAAAGATGTAACTGCTGGAAATCAGTCATGGGTAAAACAATTGAACCCAGAATACCATGCACATTTACTCATAAGTAAAGTTCATTGATGGCATTGAGTATTATTTCTGAGTAAACAGAGTATCTGAAAGCATGGCTTAGTTTTGTGGTCAGCAACCAACTTGAAAATGTAAGTGCCATGTACTTTGGTTAAGATTAAGCCCACATTTTGAGGATTATATTCTGTCATTATAAAACTGGCTTTGCTTTGCTGATTGATAGTTGGGCATAATTTGAAATAAGATTGAGAAAGAATGTTTCTTATCTTGCAGTTCCCATTACTGTAGCAAAAGTACATTCAGCTCAGCTAAGGGACTTGAACAAGATATTCTGGAGATTTCACTAAAAGTTTATTCAAGCAAATACTTTAAAAGCTATAATATGATGTTGAAAACCGTTATTCAGTTTTCCACCAACTGCTTTGAAATAGTCTGGGATACTACACAAAATAAAGATCAAGTCAAACAAATGACCTATCCAAGATCCAGTATTGTGCAAATCCATAATAAGATACCTTATTCTAGATCTGATGGTTTGGTTAAGGCCTTACCTCCAAGCTTCTTCTGTTTCCATCAGTTGCTGAAACATTGCCTCAGCCATCTCCTTGCGTATCTGCACCTCCAGCAGTAGTTTGCCTTGTCTCTCTGCAATCAGCTTGTCCTTTAGCATCTCTGTAGTTTTCAAGAGATCCTACAGTATTCATAAGGAGCCAAATGAAGGACAACATGGAGACAAGGATTTGAAGCCAACAGTGGTACATGAACATTTATTTGCCATTCATCAGCTCAAGAATGCAGCATCTCAAACTTGGCGGGCAAACCCTGAGCCTCCTTGGTTTCCTCCCCTTGATGGCCATTTCCCCCAACCTTCAATCAAGGTACTTTTCTTGCTTTTGAACAGGTTCCCCACTCCCACTGTAAAGGGTTGAAATGGCTCTCCTAAGGTTTAGTTACTGGCAGTAAGAACTTGAAAATTAATTACCGTATTTTTTGCTCTATAAAACGCACTCCCCCCCCCCCAAAAGTAAGGGGAAATGTCTGTGTATCTTATAGAGCGAATATATGTGTGCAGTAAGTCTGTCAGATGTGCAGCCCATGGGGAAGTGATGGGGAATGTGCCTGTGATTATGTGCCCATTTGATTCAGAATATTTTTTTTCTTGTTTTCCTCCTCTAAAAACTAGGTGCGTCTTATAGTCAGGTGTGTCTTATAGAGCGAAAAATATGGCATACGAGAATTTTGGTCCCTTTTGCCTTCAGCCACCTTCCACTGTAAATGCGCTACATTCTCCAAGAATGTCTGGGAACAACTGAGGATTCCTTTGTTCCTTAAAGCCTAAGGAAGAAGATAGTAATGCCATCCGAAACCAACTGACCAACACACTTGAGAAGAACACTGCAGGGTACACACACTGGTGGGACCTTCTCTATCAGCACTTGTAAGTGATTAGGGAACCTTATGTGCAATTCTTATCTCAGTTAGGAAAGGTAACATCTATGGTTGTCTTTCTATACCTAACATCTAACCACATCTATGGTTCCAAGGGATGCATTCAGCCTTGAACTGAGTATTGGTACTGGTATTGGTTCAGCAATACACTTTAGCCCACAGAGGACAGAGGTGCTTCCGTTTTATGCCCCTGTCTTTATGACTAAGAGATGTTTTCAGAAATCAGATACTTACCTGGGAGTCAGTCCCAGTGAATACAGTGGGACTTTTTTTCTGCATAAGCATGAAGAAAATCAACTAAGGTTTAAATTACCTCATGACTCATAATTGTAATATCTATTTCCTCTTCTTCAGAAGAACAAGAGATGTCAATATTCTCAGGAACTTGCTCAGCAGACATGTCATTGAAGTGCACTATAGCCTTATTCTCCTTCCCAGCATATTTTGTGGGGAAATAATCAAAGATTTTGTGATGAAATGTTTGAATAACCTGCAGGGATAAGAGAGCAAGAATGAATCAGTGATTTAAAAGTAAATAGACAATTTTCCGTATGCTTCTATGTTTAAGTGTGTGTGTGTGTGTGTGTGTCTATTTGGTTCTTTGCAGTTGTGTAGGTGCATGCTTACACCTGCCTGAAATATGGAGAGTTTCCTGGCCTGAGCTAAGTGCCTGCTGTCACAGTACAGTAGGCAGTATCCATGGGCGTTGAACAAGCAAGGCTGCATATATTAGGCTGCTGTGCATAATGCTTGACAGTTATCAATTAATGAGCTGTACAATTGAAAGCAAAGGAAAAATGAGTCTAATGCTCCACTTTGGGGTTTGATTTTCTAGTATTGCCCCAACTGTTCTTCATTCTCCCCACCTTTTCCTGAATTTGTAGAAACTTCAAAAGTGGGGTCTACTTCTCATGTCCTTTTGCAAGCACTTACTTTTGACAACTGTTAAAAAGAAAGGAATCTTTTCTTTTAAAAATGGTGTCAAGCAGATTTGAGAATTTTTGTGGGGGAGAGGATAGGGAAATATGAAGCCATGACTGGATACATATCTGTGATCCTAGATGGATGGATGGATAGGGTAAGGAGCCAGTGAAAGTCACTCCAAAGTGCCACTTGTGCATTGGTAGCACAGCTGTCACTGGCAGTGGCAAAGGCTCTGGAAAAAGAAGTCAGCAAAAATGGTGTCAGGACTGGATCAAACAGGATGAAACAAGAACCTTGGGGTACTTGCTGGAGGACTGGGGTGGGGGAAGGGAGAGAAGAACAACTCACGCTATGACCAGCTATCTGTCAGGCACATCATTCTGTGAACAACCCGCATTGCATAGCTTATTTGCAAGGTGGGTTGTTATTCTTTAATATTCTTTTTAAAATGTCTGTACTGCCCAGTGGCAGAAGGGGCAGCTGCTATTCACAACTGCTAATTCACAGTTCAGTCAATTCTTATGCCAAAGCGAAGTGTATATTTCAAGTGACTCAGATATACAAGGAATTCTTATAAATTAATCATGTTTCATGTTTTACTTGTGTACACAAATGTATCTTTTATCAAATGCTACAGTTTCATCATAAGAGTAAATCCAAACGTATACACAACTAATTTGGGCAAGGAAAGTGAATAACCCAGATATACCTATAAGATGTAAAATCTAGGCATGCTTCCAGCTGCTCAGCAGCTTAGCTTAGCCAGGAAGGGTTTGGATAAAAAGTCATTTTGTCCCAGACATATGTTGCCTGTGACAAAGAGAGCAGCAGAAAACAACATTTATGCTTGTCAAGAACTCAAAATCTTACTTGTTTTGCTACAGCAGAAAATTTCATAACGTGCAGCGTTTCTTCATATGTGGAAGCACATTGATTAACATTGACAATCATGCAAGCTTTGCCTTTACCACAGAAGAATGGTTGAAATAAGCGGGTCAGTTTACTCTCTCTGAAGGGAATATATGTTGGCCTTAATCTTGGAGAGAAATTGTTTGAACAGTAAATCAGTTAATTTGTAGAAGCAAGCATGACTCAGAGTTGTACTACTGCTATTTGTAGCACATAATACTCAAAGAAGATAAGAAAATGACATAATACAGTTGTTTTCAGATTCCGCTAAGGATGCAGTCCATTGAATGTTTGGCCAGAATAAGTCCTATGACTCAGCAGGCTGGGAATTACGGAGTTTCTGTACATCTAAACATACACAGGATTTCATTCTTCACTAAAATAACTTCTGTTTATGCTTACAAGCCATAAAGTGGGAACTGAGAGGTTCCAATCCAGATATCTTACAGTCTGTTTTAGCCAGAAAACAAGAGTGCAGGGGTGTGGGGGGGGGGGTGAAGCTGACAAAGCATGACTAAAAAAAGAGAGAGAGCGAGCCCCTGCTTAAACTGATATCTAAAAAAGAACTAGAAGGCTGCTCAATAACTCCAAAGTTAAAATTGCAAGGAAATATGAAAGTAAAATTTTTTGCTAGTAAAAATTCTGTACAAGTTGCCCAGAATTATTAGGTAATATTTCAACCAGGATAGCTGAAGTTATGTTCTCTTAAGAGTTGAAAATCACTGTCCAAATTTTGTAATGCCGTGCTCATCAGATTTTGAGGCAATGATACCCTACAGAGAAATGGCCTGGAGACAGATATACTGTTAGGTACATGTAACATTAGCTGTATTAACACTTCTTTCTGGTACTGTCCACTAACCAGAGTGGCAGAAAAGGCTTAATGCCACAAACCATATGAAACTGACTTCTTTGCTTAAGCTGTGCTTTTATTTTTATTTTTTCCTCCCATTTCCCCTGTCTGACTTATGGCAGCCCTATGAATGAAACACTTTCAAAATGTCTTCTCCATGACATCTCTGCTTAGCTGTTTTAAAATCAATGCTGTGGGTTCCTTTATGGAGTCAATGCATCTCTCATTTGTTCTTCCTTTTCTTCTTCTGTCTTCCACTTTCCCTAGCATGATTGTCTTCTCCAGGGACTCTTACTTTCTCATGATGTGCCCCAAGTATGGCAGCCTCACAGTTTTGCCTTTTTACTTGTAGGAAAAGCTCTGGCTTGATTTGATGTAGGACCTACTGGTTTGTCTTTCTGTCAAGTCCAGGGTATTTGCAAAACTCTCCTCCCACACCATGTCCCAAATGCATCCATTTTCTTCTTATCAGCTGTCTTCACTGTTCAGCTTTACATTCAGACAAAGGAACAGGAACACAATAGTGTGGCTGATCCTGGCCTTGGTCTCCAGTGAAATGTCTATACACTTGATGATCATTTATAATTCTTTCATTACTACCCTTCCAAATCTTAGCCTTTTTCGAATATATGACTGAGCTGAGGTATACTATATTGTTTCAGTTTCAAATTCTTCATTTTTGACAGTGAAGTTCTGCAATTCTTCAGTAGCTGCAATTTTTGTTTTCTTGCTATTCAGCTGCAGTCCCACTTTTGCATGTTCTTTTGCTTTCATCAGGAGCCAATTCAATTCATTGCTGCTCTCTGCAAGATGGTATTGTCTCCATATCTTGCATTAGTGATGTGTTCTTCATCAATTTTCAGTTGTTTCTCTGATTCTAATTCAGCTTTCCCTATAACATGTTCTGTGCCTAGGTTGAATACATAGAGAGATAAAATAGTTGTCTGACACCTTTACCTATATGAAACTATTCTGTTTCTTCATATTCTGTCCTTACAGTAGCTTCGTGCCCACTATACAGGTTACGCATTAGAACAATCACGTATTGAAGCACCCCCATTTCTTTCAGGACCTGCCACAGCTTCTTGTGATCCATACAGTCAAAGGCTTTGCTGAAGTCTATAAAGTAAAAACCGATCTTTTTCTGAAATTCTTTGGTGGGGTTCAATAGCCAACATATATTTATCTAATGATCTCAAGTCTCTTCCATTTTGGAATCCAGCTCAAAGATTTGCTCCATTTAGGACAATATTCTTTGTTGCAACACTGAACATCATTTTGTCCGAGTAGGAAATGAGTGCAGTAGTCCTGTGGTTGCTACACTCCTTTGCTTCTATTTTCCTGAGGACTGGAACGTATATTGAACACTTCCAATCTGTGGGCCCTTGCTTTGTTTTCCCTATGTCCTGGCATATTCCTGTTAGAAATTGGACTGAGTCAGTCTCTGCAGCATGGAATAGTTCTATTGGAATCAAATCTAATCTGGGAGCATTATTACTTGCAAACACTTTTACAATAATGTGTTTGTTTACATCATCATACCTGCTTATAAATATCTCTATATAAAACAAATTACAAACACACCATCACTTTCTAGTGCTGATAACCAAGGGAACTAGACCCTGCATCATTCCTGGACTTCTTGCTGCTTGTGAAAAAGGGAAATGTGATAACAATATTTTTGACTGAAGCACTTTGGTAGAATGTGTTTCAATATTTAGTTTTGTCACTTACTTTGGGTTTTGATTCTGTTTCAGAGCTGCAATGCATTTTCCAAGAATAAGAAGGGAATTATTAATATTGCCTGCTTCTTTAAGCCTATCTCCAAAGGTCTGGGCTTTACGGCATCGTTCTGATCCAGCCAGGTCACACAGAGAGAGTCTGCCATAATTAATACATATGACTGATTTTTATTTTACTTTTAGATAAATTACAACTAATATTCATTGTTTTTATAAACTTATAAACACATCTAAAATATACCTTCAGAACAGCCACTTTCACTCTGCTGGAAAAACATACTGCAATCATTAAAAAACTCAACCAAGGCTTCATTGTGATTAGCATAGCCCTATTAAAATAAGTGGAACTTTACTTGTGAATAAATGATAGGGTACCTTCTAGACATGGCCTTAATCATGTAATTTTTCTGCCTCCATCCTGGTATTTTATAGAGATCCAGTCACCTTCCATTTCTAACACTCCTATATTTTCCTACTGGATTTTACCTTTTTCCATTCCACAAACAGCAACAACAATTCAAAAGAAAGAAAGAAAGAAAGAAAGAAAGAAAGAAAGAAAGAAAGAAAGGGGGGAAACAGAATAGCTGCATGCCTTTTGATTTATAATCTGTATGGATTATAAATACAGATTTTTAATTTATAAACTAGGCTTCATTGATTTCAGTAGGTTTACTCCAAGTATGACTAATTCTGCATCCAACCCAGTATTTTCACCTCATCTCTCTCTCCAAGGACCCTCATAATGTCTATGAGTTAAATCAAGTTATCATAAGACTCATATTTTTTCTGGTTCTACCACCTGGGATGTCTGAAACTGAGCCTCAGACTTCCTGTATATGCCCAGCATATGCTCTACCACTGAGCATTTTTCAGCAGCCATGCTAAGTGAAACATAAAGATGGACTTTGATGAGCGAAAAGAGGTTAACATGAGGGTTGAAATCCACTATGAAGAGTAAGACACATCCAAAGATTACAGCACAGATGCACAGATCTAATATTGTTGTACAAGTGTGCTCCGGTATGTAATATCTTAAGGAAGGAGACAACTTCAAACAAGAATTTACATACTAAAAAATTAAATGTGTGCAAAATCAATGCAGCACTGGTCTAGGCATTCATCTAAGCAGAGTTTCAAGAAAACAGTTTGTCCGGGGTTGTTGTTGTCCCAGTCCAACCGTCTGACCTCTACATCGCTTTATTCTATTATATACTTGGTGAGAAGGCACTCACTCAGACACTCCAAGAATTTGTGGCACATCTTCATCACTCAAGCTGAGCAGTTGGATAGAAAATATGCTGTGGCTGGAGGAAAACAGACACAAACTTTATTTTTATCAAGTTGTGATTTCATATTATGTCTTGTTCTACATTTTGATATTCTGCTGATTGACTGATGCAACTGTTAACAAAGTATGCATTTGAGACTAGATCTGTATTAAAAAACCCTCACCATATTCTTCATATGCCATTCTTCAAGGTGCATAAATGTACAAAGATGGAAGAATACATCAGAAGTTAGACATGCCTGGGTACTGCCCAATTCTGTTGGAAAAGAGTGCAATCCTATGCATGTCTACTCAGAAATCCCATTTGATTCAGAAACACTTATTTCCTAGTAAATGTACATAGTGTTCCTGGCCCACTGAATTAAGTGTAAGCTATTGCTACACTCTTCATCTTGGGTAGCACTAAATGTAGAATTTGTGTTACCCTACAGCTTCAAGGGAAGCCTTTTCTCCTCTCACTACATTGCTTAATGTCCAGCCTGATGAAGAATTGTGGGGAACTTGAATATTTAATCGCTATTTTGTGATATTTTAGTTGGTCGTAGTCACAGTATTGTTCAATTGTGAATTTTTATTTTATATATTTCTTAGCTTCCTTTGCGAATTGTGAATGATGGACTTCCTGAAGTGCCTTACAACCCCCATCTCCTTAAATTCAACATAAAATTATAAAGAGCACCATACAATGTAAACCATTTAAAAATAAGGTAAACTAAAACACAATAATTTAATAGTAGCAAATATCAGAAAAAAGTTTAAATCAAAATCCAGAGACATCAGATAGAAGCCTTCTTAAAAGCTGCCACATATGAGCCAGCTATTTGAGAGGGAATCCCACAAGGGAGGGGCTGTGGGACTGAAATAGGATATATGGTTGGCTCATACATCATGAAGCAGCACAGGCTGGTTCATATAGGTGAAGATGGTCCTTCAAACCTGGCCCTATGCCATTTAGGACATCAGTGCCTAACACCAGCACTCCAGATTGGTCTCAAACACACCAGCCACCAGAGTATCATCATCAAATCAGGAAATGAGCAGCCACATTCCATCCTAGCTAAAGGACTACTGCACTGAGAAGCTTATACTGAATGCCCAGTTATCCGGACTGGGGCTAAGCAGCATGATTAGCCTTAAGGAAGAAGGGCATTATTAGAGGCAACAAACCTTCTACTAGATTGCTGATTCATCCTAGTACACGCCAAGCTTCTGTTCTTATTTCCTATTTTAAGTATTTTACAAGCCTCATCGGAGCTGTTTATGTTGATCCACTTTAAGTCTGGGGAAAGAAAATAATTTATTAAGATTAATACGAGCAAATATCAGAATCCTATTTAGTCATACAGGAAATATAACTAAGTCACAGCACAATCATATACTTCTGAGTTGACAGGCAAGCCTACTGAATTCCAAAGGCACCAACTTCTCAGCCTTATGGACAAGAAATTAATCTCACAGATGGAGAAACTTAATATGCTGAGGGATGCAACTCACTCAATTATGTAAAAAGGAAATCAAGGTGACACTTTTTGAAGTGGCACCAATATAGGAAAAGGTGATTGAGTTCCTTGAAACAGTCTAAACTTGATCAAATCCTATGCAAAGGCTTCTGTTCGCTGTATGTTTGGAAATGTATTTACTTTCAGCATTTTGACCTCATCTTCAAATATAAAGGCTTTATATGTTCTAATTGTGCTGCTAGTCATTTGTGATTTGTGTGTAAGTGTGTGTGTTTTGTTTTTAGAAAAAAGTGTATAAGGGTGCAATCCTAAGGGTGTGATTTCTGTTTAGACAGAAAAAAAATCTTACAGTAGTCAACATGGCTGTTTGGAGCAGGCTCAGAGTTGTAGGAACTTTTTTCTATCCAAATTTTCTCACACATATAAATAAATACATAAGCAGGCATGTGGTTAAACACAGCAGAGAGTAATGGTCATTTTCCACAAGAGGAAAAACATTCAAGTTATAAGTTTGACCTCTTTTTTTTATTAGCAAGGATATTTCCAGAATGTTTTTGGTTGGTGTTTTCTATTTATAAATCATATCATAATATGAACTTCTATTTTATACATATATATTTGAAAATTGCCTTGAATTGCATATTCTAGAAAAGTTGGCTGTACGTTCTGTAAATAAATGGCAGAAACATGGCTGTTGAAGATGTAAACAATCCAAGAAACAGTACAACGAAGCCGAACTCAAATGGTGGAGTTCCATGTGTCTGTGTGTCACATACAACTTCAGAAAAAAGAAAGTTAGTGACACCTGAAACTCAAATCTACTACTCAGAAGGATTTGCTTGGCATGGAGAGGGAGGGGAAGAAGAATTCCCACTTAGACAGCATTGGACACCTAATTACCACTGTTATTTACGATATCTTTCATAGTAGAGCAGTATTGAAATGATAAGATGGAACATTCCCATTTTTAGGAAAGGATTGTAAAATACTTGTTTTTAAAAATTGTCCAGTAAGTCTCCAGAACAGCTATTCCTACCATTTAATAAATCTACTATTATAAGTTATGATGATGGTGTAGTGATGGCCACCAGTTTGGATGCCTTTAAAAGCAGATTGATCAGATTCATGGAGGAGAATGCTACTGGTCCTAATGGCTATCTTCTACCTCCACTCTCATAACTGGTATGTCTCTGTAAACCAGCTGCTGAGGACATCAGCAGGAAGGTACCTTTGCCTGCTTGTGGGCAGCTGGTTGGTCAGTATTTGAACAGAACACTGGACTAGATGGATTCTTGGTCTGACCCAGAATAGCTCTGCTTATGCTTTTATGTGCCCATTATACATACATTTCAAGTATGACCCCTAATCAGAAGAGCTAAGTGTTACCTGGGGTACTTCCAGACAGAAGACTCCCAAAATTGCTAGTCAGGATGCACTGTGCTGCTCCTATTCACAGTCTTCTTTTTTAAAGGATTTCCCACAGAAAAGATGAAAAAAAGATGGAAGAAATTGTGGGAAAACATGGGAATACTAGAAGGGGTAGATGTCATATCTAGACCCTCTAAATCAGGGGTCTCAAACTCGCGGCCCACGGGCCAATTGCCGGGACGGGCGGGGCACGGGGGAGGGGCCCTGCGGCCTTCAAAGCACCGGCGGCGCCCGGACCGGCCGTGGGATGAGCGGCCCAGCACCACCGCGGTGGTGGAATACTTGATGCGGCCCAGCCTCACCCAGACTCTACTTCCAGCGGCCCCCAGGTAAGTTGAGTTCGAGACCCCTGATGTATGTACATCCTGTATTTCTGAATAAACTGTAAATGTTATTTTGGTTGTACAGCCTCAGTGAACTCTCAAAGGGTGTTTTTTCACTTCTGCCAGTCATCTGTCAGAATAATCCTGTGAACAGTTCTCTGAACCATGCCACTGAACCAGAACCAAAGCTGCAGTGTTACCTTTAATATAGGAGTTTCCTGCTTGATCTTCACAGATCCTTAAGACTCTGCGCTTCTGATTTTTCAGTGCTGGTAATAGGTCCAGTAAGTCATAGATGTATTCATTGTAGATTTCAAAGAATGAAACCCATACAGATGCTAGAGTTCTCTGGCACTTGCTAAACACCCCAGAATCAGCAAGCTCAGATTGTTCATCTACAAGCCAAAGTTAAATGGATATGAAAATCATTCAGACACTAGTTATTTATAAAATTTAAACAAAGGAAAACAATGCTTATTCAACAGTTTTGTAATATTTTGTTCATACTTAAGTATATTTCACTGCTGTTTAAATTAGCATTTTAAAACACTATTACATTTTAGTGGCTTCATTCAAAAGTGTTTGATGGAACACACATATTGCCACATTAATCTGTCCCTATTTCTTTCAGACATTAATGTTACATTTAATTGATATGACTACTGGTAAAAGAAATAGCTATAATTTTGTGCTAAAGAAAAAGAAAAAAAAGACACACAACACTATGAATATTAATCACTTACTTAATTGATCAAAATCAGGATTTGGTGAGTTGGAGCTACTAGAAGTTGGACTGGATACACCTAGAGATATGATATGTTTCCAAGAATTTTCTGTCTCCTTGATAATAAAAAATGTCAGGATTAAAGCCATTCTAATACTTCCATAATATCCATATATAGAAGGAATTGCAAGACATCCTACTAAACCTAAGTAACACCTCCACACTGTGTTTAAAAAGGCATCATCATCATCATCATCATCTTCATCCCCTACTATAGGAGCATGACTAACTTCAAACAATCACACAGCACTCCTTGAAGCCAATCACCTAGATAATAAAAGCAAGGATAGTTGGTCCTCCAGATATGATTGGACTGAAATTCTCATGGACCCTCACCATTGCCCTTGCTGGTAGTGCTGATGGTAAAGCCATCATCATCTTGATGGTCACACATTTCCCATTCCTGAATTAACTATCAGGCCTATCAGAATTAGCAAAATACTAGACTGCGAACCTGTGGTTCATGTCTAATTCACCTTTTAGTCAAGATCAATTTGAAATTTACAGGAAAATGCATCAACCAAAAGTATGCAAAACTAATAACAGACTTCGAAGCTACTTAAGACCTAAAACATCCTTCCTTAACCAGGAACCCTGGCTGGGAATGGTGACTGTTGCAGTCCAGCTCATCTGGCTGGGGAAGAGATGGAGTTTTAAAAACTTAGAATATAAAAATGTTTTATTTAAATAGTAGACTCACATGTCATATTACAAATTACTTTTTAAAGAGTCCTTGAATTCAGAATTGGACCCAAAATATTATGGAGAAGGCACCAAATGTCTACATTTAACTGATAACTTATGTGTTGCATTATTGAAAAGTCTAAAGGTTAGTTTTGCAATGAGCAACACAATTCAGCATCAAGGAACTACTACTTCATAAATACATAACACAAAAGGACAAGTGTCAGCTGTAGTAACACAGTGAATGCAATTCTGCACAATATTCCAGTTTTCTGTGAATACTTGATCCTCACTGAAAAAAGTGTTAAAGCCTCTCCCTCTTGGTATTTCTAAGGAAATCTTTAAATCATCTATTATCTAGGTAGCTTAGAACAAATGTTTTCCACATGGAATGATCTTTGTGCAAGCTTGAGAGCTTTTATGATCTTATACAGTGCAATCATGCCATGATAAGTGCTCACATGTTTTGAGTTGTTCCTAGAAAGCATTTCAGTCACGTGATATATAGAAGCACCATGAATATTGTAGATGGAACTCTATGTCACTTCTGGTTAAAGCAAAGAGGGTGAGAACAGCAAACCAGTGACCCCAATCCAAGATTATACAAGTGAGTTTCTGCTCACGCAGCAGGCACTTCCTGACACCCCATAATATGCTGTGGTGGGTATGCAGGGAGGACTGGAGGAGTAACCTGACTTAATAGCAGTGCCTGTTCTGCTGGCTGAAAGCTATCTTTGTGCATGCTTAACCCAGCCATTTTCATCTTACAGGCAGGCTTATTCCAGTCTTGAAGAATGGCTAGGCTTTAAAAGAAGGAAAGGAGATTTGAAAAGAAGTTAGGATCATTTGCAAGGACGAACTAGTGGATGGTGTTTGGTTAAGCATTCTAACCCCCACCCCGCCCCTGGATTCTTTCTGCAAAGAGCCCTAACCCTATCTTTTCATTACAAGATAAACATGGGTTTTCCTATTAATATGCAGTATTTCTTTAGTGTTTGCAACTGACCTCTTTCAAAGAAGCAAGAAGGGCAGCTTTTATGGATTCTTCTTCCTTAATCTGCATATCATTAAGCCTCTTGACAAGGTTACTGAAGCATGGTTTTAAGTTCATCTTTGTATATTGTCTTCCTCTTACATGGTTAAAGATCATATCAACACAACGAGGAAGGATACCAACATCTTTTGGACAACCTGCAGAAACAATGAAACTATATGAACTTATATGTACCATAGTTATAGTTGAATTTTGTATTTTGCTTTTTGAACAGTAAAATATTTATACCTTGAACAGTAAAACTTTTGCCTGCATTGGTAACACCATAGGTAAACACAAGTCCATTAATTCCATCAATGCAAGCTTTTACTATCTCTTTCATTGTGCCTTCAAAAAATTCACTTTGAGTAGTGTCCGGCCCAAAAACCTGTATAAAGAACACAAGAATTTTATAGAGAAGCTAAGGGAGAAACTGAACAAGATGAAGCTCACGATCAGGGTCTTCCACATTTAAGTGACGCATCGATAGCATTATCTGTTTGATGTTAAGACCTAGTTTACCCATAATGCTAATATAGTGACTTGGTTTGCATGAGATGGCAACCCATTAGCCATGGGTTGCCATGTTGCCTAAACTAGATACTTCCCACAGGGTACTATTTGGGGGTAACAAGCCACCTTACCAATCTATAGGTTGTTCTAGGGATTACTTGACTCACACTGCGTTGCCCCACCTGGGAGACTATTCCATCATGGGGACATGGCTAGCAAGCTGCTCGTTAAGATTGGAACCCCCCCCACACACACTCTCTCTCTCCCTGTGTCACTCTTTACAATCTCATCTATGCTGCCAGTAACAGCCACATCACTGGGGTCTAAGCAGCACTTTGGAGTGACTGTCACTGTCACTGCTTTGGCCCCAGAAATGAGCACAGATGTCTCCATAATTGTGTTTATTCTTTATTTGGCCAGTCTTTCATACGTGTACAAAGGCACATGTTTGGTTGTCCGATATATGTGGTCTTGCTTGATAGCCATGTAAATTTCAGCTGTCAAAGGGGAGAAGTGTAACTGGTGACCTACATGGTAAAGAGAAAATGTACATGCTCCAAAACAGGGTAGCAAGACTCCATCCTAGCAAAGCAATTCTCTCAATTCTTAGAACTGAACTCACAGTTCTTTCTGTACTTCACTTTTCAATGTTTCCCCAGGTCTCCAGTTACTCCAAAAAGGGCCAGCATTAGCTCTCTTTCAAACACACATTCTTTTTGACCACTTACTGCTATTAGCAGTAAGCAGTTCACTGACAATTTAAAAAACACTGCAATTTAATAGGTGTGATGGAAATGGAGGTAAACATTTTGCAAATTTACTGGCTGGAAAGTTAATGGAGTGGAACTTTTTGCACCTGCATTCATTGCTCCATTACTGCACAACACTGCCCGCCTCTCCCCCACCCATTTACTTCTTAGCCCTGATATCTGTATGTATGCCTCCCACCTCTTGACTGACCTCCCAGCTGTGTATAGTTCCCAATTTGAGAGAGAGAAAAAAGGGTGCATTCTCAGGGAGCCAAGGTTCCATTTGGATGCCAGGAAGCACTTCCTGACAGTCAGGACCCCAAGGGTGTGGAATGAGCTTCCGCGACAGGTCATTGAGGCCCCATCTGTGCGGATGTTCAAGGATAGGCTGGACGTCCACATGGTGGGCATGTCGTGAGCGAAGCCGGCTGGTGCCGGAGGTCAGACTAGATGGCCCGGGAGACCCCTTCTGACTCGCTCTGTTTCTGCGTTTCCCAGTTAAAAACATCCCTTACAGGTGGGGGGACAGAATAGAGCAAATAGGGTGCCAGTGGGTCTTACACCTCCCCATCACAAGTGACTCCATTCCCTCCATCCTGTTCAGTTGCCTTCGTGAGGATCTTTTATGAAACTGTCAGGACTGCAGTAATGGCAGCAGTTCCTTCTCTGAAGATGAGTTACACAAAGGGGTGCAAGAGTTCATATATCACCTTTCTGGAGCAGTGGAGATTCATGGAAGTTCTGTAAAGTTGGAAGGCACTGAGAAGTCAATTCAAGGCTTGCTTCAACACTTACGGGAAGATATTACCAGCTCTCTTTCGGTACGCCTTCTGTTGCCGTTCCTGCCCCCACCCCCATCTGGTGTTTTTCCATTGACAACACTTGGCCCCTAGCAAGTGTATGTAAATTGGTCTATATGAGGTCTCACCTTGTTGGACAGCTGAAACTGACAAGAGAATTGTCCAGACAAGCCCACACATATAATACAGCTGTAAGTGTATATTTGCACATTTGCAAAAGAGAAACAAAACTTTTTTTAAACAATGCACAAGGGTTGATTAAAAAAAAAAACTCCAGTTACACTTTTTGAGACTGGCAGTTTTGTCTTTTAATAGCAGTGAACAAAAAGCATTAGTGATCGGATTGAGGAGGGGCAGACAAGACAGTTTCTGTTGCCAAAACACTGAAGTACCAGATGGAGTACTGAGAGGGAAATAGTAGGGAGAACAAGCACAGTGAGTTCAACTGTTCAGCATGCACACTGCATTTTTCAGCAAACAACCAGCCCATTGTGGCTTATTTCAGGATGGCTTAATATGACATCTGGACATCCCTCTGTTTCCCTCCCCCTTACTCTGCATCCTCTTACACCCCAAATGTTTTTGGGGTGCTGTAATACTGGGATGCAGAGCAGCTTGGTTTATTTTACCATTCTTACCTGCCACCTCCGTGGCCTACAAAACCATCTATAAACAATCCATGGTTCTGGGTTCACCTACAATGACAACCCACAGTTTAAACAATCTAGAACAGGGGTCCTCAAACTTTTTCACCAGGGGGCCAGTTGAAAGGTGCTGGTGCTAGGCACGGCCCGGAAAGGTGGTGCCGGCGGCATGTGTGGGTCCGGGAGGGGAGGGGGCGGGGCGCACGGCAAGGGGAGGCGAGGCAGGGATGGGCATGTGGTGCAAGGCAGCGGCGTGGGTGTGAGGCAGCCATCTGCTCGTTTGGAGATCATTTTCTTCAAGCAAGTCCAAAGCGATCACTGCACAAGGAAGCTCCCGCTGCCACCAGCAAGGCAGGTGGCGGTGGGCATGTGCACACACTCATGCGGCGAGTCCAAAACCTCTGAGGCAGGCCAGATAAATGGGCATGGCAGTCCAGATCTGGCCTGCAAGCCGTAGTTTGAGGACCCATGTTCTAGAGTTTGCAACCAATGATAAATCATGGATTCTCTTTCTTGGTTTTCCATAGTTAACCATAATTTGTTGGTGCACCTGGGTTCATATATTAGAACAACCAAATATTCAAGAACCCATGTGTTAAGTAAACCCTGGGTTTATCTTACATGTGAATTAGATCTTCTGTATTGCTCTTTGTCCCATGAGTAGGATGATATGTATATACATTTTGCCAGAAGAACTAATATTGGGGAACATTAAAAGTTAGCCCTGCCTCTAATTGCTATGGTCAGAGTTTGAATTTGACACTGTACTAACAGCAGACAATCATGTGAGATCATATTTATAAATTGTTTGTGTCATCTGCCATATGTACACAAGTGGACTCCTTTAAAGTCCACATAACCAATTACCAGCATGCATTTTCAAAATATCAGTGCAGGTGGTGGCGGCGGCGGCAAGGCTTACCTGTGTGAAGGTGAACTGATGTGTAGGTTGTCCACTTCTCTTCTCACTGCCCTTCATTGTGGTGGAATCCTTAGGTGGCTGAAGGGTTACTGTTTCTTTATTTTCAATAAGCAAGCAGTCCTTAACAGCACACAAGTTATTTGAATGTTTTCTAAATAATATTTGCCTGCTAGACTTCAAAGTACAACCATATTCAAACTCATACCATGTGCCATGCTGGTATGTACATTTCTGCAGTTGCACTGGGTGTGCAACCTTCACTTTGATGTAGGGGACTTTCAGACATGTCTTTTATCCTGCCTCACACAGTCTCATTCTTGGATGTTTACTGTGGGGTAGAACTCATCTACCACTCCTAGCCTACCCATGTTATCCCACTATGTTTTCCTATCTTATTGCAAGAAATTCTGAAAAAGATGAAATACTGTGCAGCACCTCCTAACTCCCTTCAGCAGCACCTATAATCTATGGTTTCAAACATTAAAGGTTTTAAGATAATCTCTTTCCTAAGCACACACTCAAGTTCAGGCATCTAAGTTTTATTATCTAAAACCGTTGTATCCCTGGAATTTACCCAGCTGTATTAGTGCCAAAATCTTGTGAAGGACAGTATACGCAAAGTAAGTTAGGGTTACATCACCGTAACATCAAACTTCAAATTGGTCTTCAACAGTCCATGTAAGGAGCCAATTAAGCAGGTATCCATCAAGAAGAAGGCTTTTTCAAGTGCATCAGCCCAGTTGGAGTGGAGCTTATTTTGTGAGGATATTCTTATTTTCCCAGGCATTTTAATCTACCACATTCTGTTGTTTAAAATATATTACTGTATTTTGAAAATTAGTACTGTTACTTGGTTCTATTTTGCTTTTATTTGTGCTTTATTGTGCTTTTATGTTATACTACCGTTTTAATTATTTACATTACTTTTTTCATGCTGTCTGTTATGGTTTTAATTTTGAGAACTGCTGAAAGAACTTTGGCTATTGGGGCAGGATAAACATGTAATAAACTAGAACAGCTGAAGAACTTCAGAGGAGTATTGAAGAGCTCCTTAGTAGCACACCAGAGACAAAATAGGACTTTAAAAAAACCCTGTCAATTCTGAACCAGATGCCTCATAAGAAAAAACTGCTAATTATGTGTTCCACAACTAGATAGATAAAACTTTATTATGGTCAAAGACCAGCTCAATGTTCCACAACTAACCTGGTTTTCACTGTTCTCAAGCTCCAACTTTGAAAAGGGTCGCACCCTCAAGTATACTTTCAGTGGCTGAGCCATCTCCTTAAAAAAATAAATTAAGATTAAACTCTTAAGACACCAGCCCTTAAAGCTGATTCCTATTTTATGCTTGAGTATTCCCACGTTTCAAGTTTCTGCCATTTGTGTTTCCCCAAGGTTCCCAATTTGCCTAAAAGTTTATTCCTCTTTCTTGAAACCTCCCTTCTGTTAAATGCTTATTCCGTTCCCCAACCCCAATAATCCTTAAGCCAGCCATGTAGGCTGGGACTAAGCAGCACTAATATTATTTAGAGCAGGGTTGGGCAAAAAGAAATGTTGGGCTACGAGAGTATTTTTTAAATATTTGAAACTTGGATAAAGACACTTAGTTTTCATTCTAAGAACCTGTTATATTCAAGCAGTAAAATACCACACAACTCTCTTTATGATCAACTATCAAGCAGCTGACCTCCACTTCTTGCTGCTTGCCTGTGCTGGATACTTCTGAAAAGTCCATAGGTAAAGGCAAACTCCCATGAGATATTGATTCTGTCATACCACACACAGGTAAGGATATTCCATGCCTTTCCTGACAGTTCATGGTTTCACTGCATAAGATGGGGAACACATACAGCAAGTTTGTTCAACATCAAAATTTAACAAGGGACCAGGAGATTTACCATTTTTTAGGACCCACAAATTGTTTCCCCACTGAAATCAGTTCATCCACAATAAGCTAGTTGTGCTTGAGGTCCCACTGAAATCAAGTTTAATTAATGTACTCTGGGTCCAAGCCAAGGTCACAATTCTCATAAATAAGCCTACAAAATGTTTTGTATGTAATACTAACACATAATGTATTAAAGCTATAGATAACTCATGGTCTGTTGTCCTATGCAGGCTTTGCCTTGCAGACTGTATTTGTTTTCTCAGTCTCAAGGTGTGTGTCCCACATCCTTTACCTGTTATTTCCTTGTATCCCAATGTTTTTGTGGCACTTATATATTAGCATGAAGCCCCAGCTTTGCAGCCTCATAGAACAAACAAACCATGGTCATATGCAATGACAACCCATGGGTTAAAAAATTCAGAGTTTATAACCAACATAATTTATATTTATATAATTGCTTTTCCTGAGTTGTGCTAACAAACCAAGGCCTGTTAATCATGAACAAATAAGTTTACACAACACAACCCAGAATTAAATAACCCATCCCATAAATTAGTATTCTTTTGAGCCTAGACAATGAACATGATGTAAGGAATGGGAACTTTTTTTCAGCATATAGAAGAATTCTTTGCATTTGTATAGAATAACTAACCCCTTTTCTAGAAACTCTCTCTCTTTCCACAAATTAGAAGTGATACATAGTTACTGCTTCTGGGGATTGTACAAATTACCTTTCAATATAGAAAAGTGATAATATTTAAAAAGGATACCCATGCTTGACTTGAAGAATTTACAGAACATTTACCCCTCAAGCTCTCCTTACATGCATGTATAAAATATATCACACACTTGAATAATCTTTCCTATTTTTTCTCTTCCATTATTCTTGTCCCCTTTCTTTACATTAATATTCAGATGATTGTATCCACTGTTAGACTACTTATAGTAGGGCCCACTGAAATGATTGGGCCTTAAGTTAGACTAACATTAGATACAACAAATAGCTTTGCTGATTGCTGGTTCTTTGCAACATTAGATTTCAGTGGACTTGGGGCTCATAGAACAATACACAGAATAATGCTGACAAGCTGCAGGCCTTTGCACACTACTACATTTAAACAAACATGCTTACTTCTTACTGTACATAGGATTGGGTTGCTAGATTCTACACATCCTTCTTTCCCATCCCTTTGTTTCAGATTTCCCCCATTTCTAACCTTTGCAGATTTATACTTTACTATTCATGCAGTGTGTAACATAATATTGACACAATATACATGTTCTATCATTTCTTCACACATACCTTTTGTTTCTTCCCTACAAAAACTGAAGAAATACTAATTTTCCTCTCCCACTGCCTCTTAACAGAATTAAAACTTGCCTTTACCACAGCTCTAGCAAAAGCTGCTTTACTCTTTCCCCAAAAGTTTCATAGGCTGGTTATTAACCAATGAGGAGCAGCCAAGTAAATCAGAACTCATAACCATCAATCAGCCCCATCAATAGATAAACAGATGGATAGTTTACAGAACTTTAGATCCACAGTGAATTCTCAGCCTTCTCTAACCTGGTCCCATTCAGATATTTTGGGCTTCAATTTACCTTAGCCCCAACCAGCATGGTAAATGGTTAAGAACCCTGTGAGAGTTGCAATCCAAAACATTTGGCATGCACCAGATTTGGGAAGCCTAAATAGTTTCTTATGGAGTAAAGCTGCATTGCAGCCAGCTCTATCTCCCTCATCCCAATGATCCACTAATCTGCTGAAAACAGAGAAAGCAGTTCCCCATTGTAGATCAAAACTTGCGGATCCTGACTTGGGAGGGTTCCATTAGGCTTAATTATCATCTACATCTGAACAAATCTATATAGGATTGGGCTGTAATTCCAGTTATACTTACATACAACTGGAAGTAAATCCCATTGAACACAGTAGCATTTACTTCTGAGGCTAAACGACCAATAAAAACCATTTAAAAAACCAGCTACCTTTCAGACCCAGCTCTATAATTAGCCAGAGTGAATTGGCCACCCCAGGCAACTAATGTCACAGAAGGGGAGCAATTTATTGGTTATTTAATTATTACTGTATTTTAGCAACTGGAAAGGTAACAGATACTTGCGGGGGAATATGCTTCAGGGAACTTGCTGTCTTTGACTTTGGGGGGTTAACACCACCACATCCACCTCAGGCAGCAAATTATTTGGGCCAAACTTATTGCCTTCCAAAAGCAGTTGTCAGCAGCAACTTTTTACGTCCAGATCCCACACCCCATGTGCTATGATTCATCACCTCATGCTAAGTTTGCAGCCTTTCCGATGATGAGTTCAGCAGTGTTTTTCTGGACCATGCTTCTACCCACACATGAATTGTTGCATTACAGTTTCTAACACCGGAACACCTCCTCATATGAAGAAACACTTTCCAGATTCACTAAGGACTTAATATGATAGGGTACAGCTGTGGAGAATGTATCTCTACTGCACTGAGTGGCAGCTATCATGTTGCTCTCAACCACCATATGCAGCCATGAAATTTGTTAAAACCACCATGCTTAGCTGTATTAACAGTATTTAAAGAAAAGTCCTACTTAAACTTACAAAAAGATCTCCTTCATTTTGAGAACTATCAAACCTCTTTGATCTTGAAAAGGATGGGTGTTACAGATTTTACCTTTCTGGAGTATGTAAAGGCTTAGGGAAAGGTAGTAAAGGTAACAAAATGAGACTTTGGGGGCTTTAGTTAAGTACTAGAGGATCACACTGCTAATGAAGAAATCTATTCACTGCCCCTTCATAAGCAAAAATATCATCAGTTTTTCTCTTGATAAGTTTCCAAGTGAAAAGTAATGAACTGTTTTGTAGATTTGGCCTTAGTCTATGGATGTTGCTTTCTCAAATTGGACAAGAGACACTTCCTAAAACAATGCCCCAGGCAAAATGTTGCATTTTGGCAGTTGCACACCTCCAAAAAAGAGCTCCCAGTCTCCATATTACAAATATATTTGGGTAGTTCTTTAATGCCTAATTCAATATTCTTGGGGAAGGAGCTGAAGAAAAGAATAGCATAAACAAGCATAGCCAACACATGACCTGCTGTGTGCTATTGTAGTCCCCACTGATTAATCACTAAAATTGGCAGCAGTGGCAAAAAATGTTTACCTTTGCCATTTCAGTCAATAGGTCAAATTTACTTTGTTCTCAAGCAAACTTTGAAAAGCTTGGTAAACCTTCTGGTGCATTTTTTCCATTGCTAATGGGAGAAACCATTTCACAGGTGTGCAACACATGGGCAAAAATGAAGTACATTTTTAATGAGGTTGAAGACTAAGTCTCATTTGCTTTTGGCCCAACAAGAAAAGCATGAGAAAACCTCTTAAGTTCTTTGTATAAGGAGGTCAGGTCTCAGAGGTAGTCCAATACTAGAGCTCATGCTTTGCATAATTTCAGCAGGTAGGCCAAGGTAATTTCCTACCTGACAGTCCTGGAGAGTTGCTGCTAGTTAGTGTCAACAATACCCAGTTAAATGAACCAATTATCTGTATCAATAAAAAGCAGGTGCCAGTTAATGACAACTAGGCTGTTTACTGATTGAGGACTGCCATTCAATTGCTGTGCCTGTTGTTATTCAGTAGAGGGCAGTAGCTAACTGCCATTTTCAAAAGATACATGATTTAAGCATATGAACTCACTGAAATCAACAGGATTAAAAATACCCAAGTAGACTTAATTTTGTGCTAAGTCTTTTGGCTAGTGATGTTGTCCTATTATTGGAGTTCAGATTGTAAATGTAGAAAATCAACTAGCTTTAACTATATAGAGTTGCACAAGCTACTGACAAGTGTAGAATGTCAGCAGCTTGAAACTGAAAATCTAAGGTTGGCTCCATGGCCAACCTCTACACTCTCATTCTTAGACTCTATACTTCATTTTATGTTACCTTATTATCTAAATGAAGCTTGCAGTTTATGAATCAGACAACACTCAATTCAGAATTGTCCACAGCAAGGTACTTTATTTTTCTTTCTAGCCCTAAACTACTTATCCTAAGTACTTGCTACAAGAGCACTTTCAGCTTCCAATAGCCCTTCTGAATACATTTGTCCTTGTCACTGATTTACAAGGTAGTTTAGTCTGTTGCAATAAAAACCAGCTCGTATGACACCTTAGACACAAATTCAGTGTTTTATCTGACAATCTTCCATGGATGCTGCCCACTTCATTTGATTAAGTGGACATTGTCACCGTCTGGTCCAAAATTATTGGAGGAATTTCAATTATTGCGGCCCAATGATGTGGACAAGGTGCTTGGAAGAGTACGTCCCACCACTTGCCTATTGGATCCTTGCCCGTCTTGGCTAATAAATAACTCCAAGCACGGGATTGGGACCTGGATCTTGGAAGTGGTTAACGCTTCTCTGAGGGAGGGTCGAGTGCCTGCCCCTTTAAAGGAGGCGGTAATACGACCGGTCCTGAAGAAAGCGTCACTGGATCCAGAGATGGCCACTAACTATAGACCTGTGGCCAACATCCCGTTTCTGGGCAAGGTGTTGGAGCGAGTGGTGGCGGGACAACTCCAAGCACTCTTGGATGAAACTGATTATCTGGATCCTTTTCAGTCCAGCTTCAGACCCGGGTACGGTACTGAATCTGCCTTGGTCGCCCTGTACGACGACCTGTGCAGGGAGAAGGACAGGGGGAGTACATCCCTGTTGGTTCTTCTGGACCTCTCGGCGGCTTTCGATACCATCGACCATGGTATCCTTCTGGATAGACTTGCGGGATTGGGGGTTGGAGGCACTGCTTTGCAGTGGTTCCGCTCCTATCTCAATGGCCAATTCCAGAAGATAGTGCTGGGGGACCATGTCTCTACGTCATGGCAGCTATGCCATGGGGTACCACAGGGCTCCATTCTATCCCCTCTGCTATTTAACATCTATATGAAACCGCTGGGAGAGGTCATCAGGAGGTGTGGGCTGCGGAATCATCAATACGCTGATGATACCCAGCTTTACCTCTCGTTCTCCACTAATCCAGGTGAGGCAGTGGCTGTGCTGAACCGGTGCTTGGCCGAGGTAAGGGAATGGATGAGGGCCAATAAACTGAAACTCAACCCAGACAAGACGGAGGTCCTGTTGGTTGGCGGATCGGGTTTTGGAGAGGGTGGATTTGACCTGGTCCTGAATGGTGCAACACTCCCTCTTAGGGATAAGGTCCGCAGCTTAGGAGTACTCCTCGACCCGGAGCTTTCTTTGGAAGCTCAGGTGACAGCGGTAGCGAGGAACGCCTTCCTTCAGCTTCGGCTGATTAATCAGCTGCGCCCCTACCTGGAGTACGACTGCCTGGCGACAGTGACACACGCGCTGGTGACTTCCCGCCTAGACTTCTGTAATGCGCTTTACGTGGGGCTTCCCCTGAAGACGGTCCGAACACTTCAATTGGTGCAAAATAGAGCTGCCAGGTTGCTGACGGGGATGGGGCGTTATGCTCACATGACTCCAGTCCTCCGTCAGCTTCACTGGCTTCCCATTGAAGCCCGGGCCCAATTCAAGGTGTTGATTATGACCTACAAAGCCCTAAACGGCTTGGGTCCTGGCTACCTGAAGGAGCGCTTACGTCCGTATATGCCCAACCGCCCTTTGAGATCTGCGGGAGAGTTCCTTCTCTGGGAACCCTCCATGAAAGAAATTAGGAGAGTAAGTTCCCGGAGGAGGGCTTTCTCTGCGGTGGCGCCCAACCTATGGAATTCACTCCCCAAAGAGGTCCGCCTGGCACCGTCGTTACTGGTTTTTCGGCGCCAGGTAAAGACCTTTTTATTTAAACATCATTTCAATTGTCAAAACATATGATCTGGCCAGGGCAACTTCTTCCTTCTCTTTCTCCTCCTATATTTTTATTTTATACTGATAATTTTATTTTTGTAAATCAATGTATTCTTTGTATTTTTATATTTAATGGTAATTTATTATGTACTATTGTATTTCAATGTATTTTATCATGTTGTAAGCCGCCCCGAGGTTTCGGCAAGGGGCGGCATAGAAATGCTATAATAATAATAATAATAATTGTCCATTAGCTTATGCCAGACCAAATGTGTTATGTATTATGCCAGTATGATTTGTGGTCTGAATTTGCAAGTTGTCTCTATTCGCAATGTAGTCTTCAGCTCACCCTACCCCAGCCTTTCCAAGTTCAAAGCTCAAGACAATTTATTTTACACCAGAATCAGAACTGGCTATTTTGCTAATTAAGTAGGCAACTTACTTTAGTAAATTTACACAAATAGTAACTTATACACAACTATTCCAAGTAATTGCATTCCATTCCTCTCCCATAGCAATTATGTAGTGTACATAGAATGCATCTCTCCAACTTACTTCCAGAATTAAATGTTTATGATCGGAATCACAAATAGGAAGGCCCACATTCCATTTCATACTCCTGTATACTTTTTCAATTAAAGCAAGGTGTATTTCCACTTCTAGGGTGTCCTACATATTAACATGCAGAATACATGCAGTGGGAGATAATTGCTATCTAACTAGAAAGGACAATTGTAACTTTGTCCAGTATGTCCATGGATCATGTTGTTAGTTGAGAAGTCGCGTCCGACCCATCGCGACCCCATGGACAACATTCCTCCAGGCCTTCCTGTCCTCCACCATCCCCCAGAGTCCACTCAAGCTCACACCAACTGCTTCAGTGACTCCATCTAGCCACCTCATCCTCTGCCGTCCCCTTCTTTTGCCCTCAATTGTTCCCAGCATTAGGCTCTTCTCCAGGGAATCCTTCCTTCTCATTAGGTGGCCAAAGTATTTGAGTTTCATCTTCAGGATATGGCCTTCTAAAGAGCAGTCAGGGTTGATCTCCTCTAGGACTTGACAGGTTTGATCACCTTGCGGTCCAGGGGGCTCTCAGGAGTCTACTCCAGCACAATTCAAAGGCCTCAGTTCTTTGGCGCTCAGCCTTCCTTATAGTGCAGCTTCACAGCCATACATTGCAACTGGAAAAACCATAGCCTTGACTACATGCACTAATCGATCCATTGTTTAATGAAAAAGTGACCTTGAACTCTTCTTTGCTAGAGATTTCAGCACATAACCAGTTCAGGAAGCATCACTTATACCATTCCAGGACGTCCATATGGCCAGGCATACTTACAGTAAGAAACCATTTTATATGGTTCCTTCTGGCCTTATACTCTTTACTTAAATGATCAAGGGCTCATTCAAAGCCAAAAAAGAGAAGTTCTGCCTATTTCTTGGTGGTATTTTCCAAACAATTCCCAAAGGACCTTGGCAGCATTTTAAAGTACACAGTTAAGAAGTTTTCAATATGCACTACCTAATACACAATTTTCCAGTTTCCTCACAAACAATGTAGTCCAGTAAACTTGGAACCAGGAAGCAGACATTCAGTTTGTGAACCAGTGAAATCCAATTAGCCAAGGTACTACAATAAGAAATGAAGAACCTCAGACTCAGTGACTCAATTTGGTCTTTTGGGGGTCTCCAGATAATTATGGCCCCTTCACTGGATCATCTGTATTTTCAGTTTTTCCTGCAATCTTTCCTCCATTCTAGAAGTCTAAAATTTCCCCCCTAAGGTTTAGCTAATAGCAGTAAGAGTATTAAACTATAATATCTGAACAAGGAACCAGGGTGAAAAGTTATTAACTTTTATTGAATAGATGACAATCATTTAAGCATCAGCGATTGTAACTTCAACTTCTACACCAGGCTCAATACTGATTGATGTTATCTGCTTGACAATCTCTGAAGGACTGTGCAAATCAATGAGACGCTTGTGAATACGCATCTGGAAACGATCCCAAGTTTTAGAACCTTCACCACATGGTGTTTTCCTTGTAGTGATTCGCAGCGTCTAAAATGTAAATAAGGATAGCTGATCATTATATTCAGCACTTCCAGTAGAATTGCTCAGCATGGAATTTAAAATCTTGAAACAGATTTCTAGTAAACCTTACATGAAGAAGTAATCCCATTATATATCCCTTGGGTGCTTTTCAAAGGAGTAGTCCTCCCAAAGTGCAATAATACAATGCCCACCCTTCAACATCATGCTGTATTCCCATCATCCTGTTTTTACCTTACAGCTATTTTGGAGGCTTCAGGTTAAGAATTTGTTTTAACCTCATATGGTTCCCCAGTCCAGAATATGTTTCTATGTGGAATAAGTAACTTTTAATAGTTTAATTCTACTCCACAGTTGAGCAATGTTTGGCACTCTAAATGTACGGTTATAATCAACACTGAACAGCTTAGGTAATGGTGAGGTATGATGGCAAGCTGCAGATAAAACCTCTCCTTGAGCTGAGAGTTCACTATGAGTAACAAAATCCTCTACAGTAAGCAAAGTGTTAACCAAGAAAGATGCATTGCCCTATTAAAGAATCTTGCAATTTGGAAAACTCTTGTAACAGTAAGTCTAAAATGATAGTAATATCTTTAATCAAATAAGTGACATACCTTGGTGGGCATGCGAACAGGCCCTTTGACTTTTAGGTTCTTTTCCTTAGCACCTCTGATCAGATCTGCACAGACTATAAAAATGTAAGAGTTTTAAAAAAACTGTATATTCATAATTGTAAAAAAATCAACAATATTTGTTGGCTCAGAATAGCGTATAAATTAATCACAATAGTTCAGTTAAAATTTTTGTCCTCATTGCCAACTATATATATGGGTAAAATCAGTGTAAAGTTTAGCACCACCACTACAGAGTCTACTTATGCTACATAGTAGTGTTAGTAGCTCCTTTTCTGGATATGTCCATGTTCATCCCTGAATTCAACATATTACAAATATACAGTATATTTCAGCTTTGGCTGTGGAGTGGTATAGAAATGAAATTATATAATAGTAATAAACTGGGTTTTACAATGTGTTACCTTGTTGTTCATTTAGCCATATTTTCAAAAGTACAGAAAATACAGAAGGAGTTAAATGCTATTAAGACAGAAGCTTTTAACAAAACTTTTATAATAACATTGCAAAAGTGAATTCACAACTTGTAACTCTACAAATGAGCTCAGTGGACTAAGAACTCAACAACATTCTCAGTTTTATATACAATTAACAGTTGGATATTATGTAGAGTTAATTATGTAGTTAAGTCCACCGAAATCAGTGGACTCAGGTGTGCCTAAATCTGCATGGAAATAGGTTGTGAAAAGGAGTGAAGTTTGGACTGAGTATGTGAAATTACCTTTTTCAAGTGACTTCACATTGCGACTTGTCAGGGTAATTCTGATTCGATGAATTGCTACTTCCTGTTCCACAGGTGCCTTGCCAGTATCTTTAAATGCCTGAAAAAACCCAGATATTTACTAAGAGCTGAATATATGTCAAATGCTTTCAAGGAGGTTACAAGAGCTGTGAATATTTAGCAGCAATCCAGTGCAGTGGAAAAGTAATACCTGGGAGATCCCTAAATGAAAACTATAAAGCAATGGCTTGAAGGAGGTGCTCCATTGCATTCCTTTATATCAGTAGATCAACCCTGACTGCTCTTTAGAAGGCCAGATACTGAAGATAAAACTCAAATATTTTGGCCACCTAATAAGGAAGGAAGGACTCACTGGAGGAGACCGTAGCGCTGGAAACAACTGACGGCGAAAGAAGGGGACGGCAGAGACCGAGGTGTCTAAATGGAGTTATTGAAGCAGCCAGAGTGGACTCCAGGGGATGGTGGACAGGAAGGTCTGGAGAAATGTTGTCCAGGGGGTCGCAATGGGTTGGAGGTGACTTTGTTACTACCAACAATACCAGTATTTACAGCAGTCTAATGTTTCCTGCTGCTAAAGAGTGGGAAGACTCTGACGGATGGGGAAGCATTAGTACTTATACTAAGAATATTTTGGTACAATGCTTATCTTGTTTATAACATGGTTTATGACCCATTTTGGGATCAGTGGAAGAAATCTCATCTAGCCACTTTTAACAACTCAAGCCACTGTTAAGTGGGCATTCAGTGTTTTCATCAGTTTGAGATTAGCTGCCCAATTTCAAGAAATTGCTCAAATCAATACCTAAACCACAGCAATATCTTTGTTGCCTTCCAAAACAATTTGGAAGTTGTAGAGCACTCCACAATAGAAAACACCCCTTTCAAACTTGCTTCTTATTCCAGAAAGGCATATTATGATCAAGATGATGTGCATACTAGAATCCAAGAATAAAAGGCTCAACTACAACATACTGAGAATTGTATCCTCAAAGTAATCCTTAAAATATCATTGCTCAATGTGAACCCACCACAACCAGCTTCATGTATGCTTAGTTTCAGCAAGATCCACGTAATTGAAACAAATGTTGTTTTTGATGTTGACCACATTTCAAGTAAGTGAATGGTAAATACAGGAGCTGTTCAATTATACCTGTCAATTCTCTCATTGCGAAGACTGCATTACTTTAGGGTCAGGTTCAGTGTAAGAGTATTTATGAACTAAAGACTACTAGAGCAGCAGCAGCATAATTTTCCCTGTCAGGACCAAACAAACTTTGTCCCAAGCTGAGGAATGTAAAAAGCCTTGCTTTATAAAAAGAAAAATCTGGGGAATCAGCCACACAATGCCACGCTTAACGAGATTTACACAGCTCTCTCCTATAAATCTTTACTTGAAAGGCTTCCTCCCTTGCACAACGGGATGATTCCCAAGATGTGGGGGGCTGCAGTCTCTGCTACACAAAATCCTAGTCAGATACATTCCTAAAGAGCATAAATGAGAGGCAGTTTTAGGGCAAAACGTGGCCCCTTCACCCTCCCCCCCAAGAGCGTCTTCCCACAAGCGATCGGGGAAAAGCATTCCAGCAGCCACGGTGGTTTTTTCGCTGCCAGAGCGAGAAAAAAGGCGCGCGAGCGGGTCCGGGGCGCGCGCGCAACCGCGACGGGATCGCCCCGGCAGCCGCAAGCTCCGAGCAGCCAACGCTGGGAGGCGAAGCGCGTGCGTGAAAAGTGGGTCCGCCGCGGCGGACCAAATGCAACACGTTCACCGCCGAACCCCCCCCCCCCCGCTGCGCCTCACCATGGCTGCCGTGAAGCCTTCCTGACCGACTTAATCCTGGCCGAAGCGAGAACGCGAGGCCGAGAGAACAGCGGTGAGTCAGGAAACGACCTGCACGCCAAGCACTCACGCACGAAAAGGGAGGCTGCTGGGAGAGAGCTAGTTATATGAGGTGGCGAGGCACACCCGCCTCTTCTCCTTCGCCCCGGAACTGGTTCCTGAGAGGGTATGGGAAATATGTGCCGATGTGTCGGAAAACTTCCGCTTAGTCCCCCAGCGACGGAAGTGACTTCTCAGCATGTGCGAGAGAGCGGCTTTAAATATGTCTCATGGGTTCAATGCACTGCTTTTCTTGCAGGATAGTGTGGAAATCCGACATCCTCTCTTAGGTCAAGGAGGAAAGAATTAGCCCTTTGCAGGACAGCGCACTTCTATTCAGAAGTAAGCCCCATTGACTTCCCTAGATCTGGCTCTCACGTAGTAGTGTGGATACGCTTGCCGCTTTGTTGTACTGAAATACGTGTTTTCCTACTTTTGAACTAGATTGAAGCCCCTGTTTTTAAGGGTGAACCTATTTACCGTACCATATATCCCACTCTGTACCATAAGCCGTCTAGTCTCGGAATCCTACCTGCGCTATGCCAGCGGAATCTATTCCAAGCCTGGTTGGTGTATCAGGCTGGAATTCAGCGAGAATTTTGGCCCGCGAACTTTTCTTTAATAGTGCCAAGATACCGTAATTCTAACAGTGAGTCGCTACAATCAGTCCTTTGTCCCTAATCGGACCTTGGAATTTGGAGGGAACTCTTTCCGGTAGCAGCCCATCCTCAGAAGCCCTCTGCATGCAGTGGGACTTTCTCCCAAGTAAATATGCTTGTGATCGCTGACCTGAATGTTTATTCCCACGTAGGGGGCTTTGCCTTATTCTGTAATGAAACAGAGGATAATTAGCTAGAGGATATCTAGCGATAATGCAAAAGAGGATCCTTTCAGACAAGTCTTTATAAAGTGCCATTATTGTGTCTCACTATAGGGTCCAGACATCGTTGTCTTAATATTTGTTACCCTTCCATGTTTCTATCGCTTCCATTTTTTCTCTTATTACTGAGAAAAAGAGGGCATGACTGTAGTGTCTTCTAATTAGTAATTCTAGGAGCATTCCATCTGGAAGCACTAACTTAGTGGAACTTTTTTCTAAGTAAACATGTTTCTTTACTGTTGCAAACTGCTGAGAGTATTTCAGCTATTGGGTGATGTAGAAATAAACAGTAACTGAGTTTAGGCAGAGAAGATGCTAATTTCATGGAAAAACATTGCAAGACAGGGGAAAGGTTGTCCTCCCTTACTATACTGTGTTCTGAATTCAGATTATGTTCCTTCTTCCAGGACTAATTCTAAACAAACTGGAGCAATATTTGGAAGGCTAAACTAAATACTTTAAGGGAACAGTCCTGCACATATTTACAGAAAGAAGGCCTATGACTTCCCAGCATGACTAGCTGGAGGAATGCTGGGAGTGGTAGGATTATTTTCTTTATCTAAACATGGATGAGCTGTCACTCTTAATGTTTTGGTCAGATTAGCCCCTATAGAAGTATGTCATGAAATATATAAAAGTATGGCTCATTCATCCCAAATCTTATCCTTTTCAAAGGCAGAGTTCATGAAAAATGTGCTTGCCTATGTTTGAGTTGTTCAAAATAATAGGAATTAGAAATAAACCTATTTTAGGTTTAGCTTCTCAATGTATCCAAGTTGTTGGCTTGGCTAGGATATAATCCTAAACTATGGTTTACTGTAGAAGTGGGGAACATGTGGCTATTCAGGTATTTTCAGACTGCAACTTGTATCAGGCATAATCAATAGTGGAGGGAGGGGAGTTGCAGCCCACCAAATTCTAGGGGTGTGGGAATGCATATCCCATCATTGTTTAATCATCATGTGAGTACCTATAATTTTTTAAAAATGGGATGCTTCAAAGGCAGACACAGCTAATTAAAGCAAGAACATTGTATTAAAAGTTCACAACATGTGGGAACAGGATGGCCTAAATATCTTCAACAGATGCCCTTATTTTTGCACCATTCCTATATTAAATTTAATTTTGTGCTTCTTCAGGTTATGTCTCAGACTGAATTTAGACTATTGCCTTTTTTCCAAACAACTTCACCTTTACAGCTATCAAGCCTGAACCAGTTTGATTAACTCAGTATTTAAAACTCAGTATTTAAAAATAGAGTTGGAAGGGGCCAATGAGGTCATTGGGTCCAGCCCCCTGCTCAGCGCATACACCTTAACCAGCTGGTTATCCAGCTGCTTCTTGAATTCCTCCTGTGTGGGAGAGCCCACAACTTCCCTACCCAATTTGTTCCATTGGCATAGTGCTCTATAAGTTTTTCCTAATATTCAGTGTGGTTCTGGCTTCCTATAATTTGAGCCCATTATTCCATGTCCTGCACTCTTGGATGATTGAGATCTTGGTCCTCCTCTGTGTGACAACCATCTGAATACATGAAGAATGCTATTATATAAGAACATAATAAAAGCCATGCTAGATCAGGCCAATGGTCCATCTTGTCCCACACTCATTATTATTATTATTATTATTATTATTATTATTATTATTATTAT